CGGCCCCCGCCCCGCCCTCCACGGCCCCCGCCCCGCCCTCCACGGGCCCCGCCCCGTAAGGCCCGCCCCTTCCGCCGCTGGAGCCTGGAGCGTGCACGCACCCAGACGCTTTGCGGGAGCGAGCGCGTTCGGGAGTCCGGGGCTGGAGGAGGGCCACAGGCTGGGAGACCTGTGCCTGCAGTTCAGGTGAGGACGGGTTGGGGGCGGCGAGAGGGTTGAAGTGTAGCCGGCGGGCGGAGGAAGGAGGTGGGTTTCAGAGGTCGTCTTACCCGTGGGTTGGGGCAAGGCAGCTAGGCGTGGGGAGCGAGGCGGCCCGGGTGAGTGAGGGTTAGGGTTAGGCACGGTGTGGGGGAGGGGTGGGGGGGCGAGGACCGCAGTTTAGACTGGCAGGACTTGGGCCTTGGCCTTGGATAGGTTGGGGTAGGGTGCGGTTTTGTTGTTGGGGTCCGCGGATTTGGAACTGGCCGTTGCTCCGGAAGGAGCGAAGGGTTTAACTTCTGCTTGGGGAGGGTCTAGGAGGGAAGGTTAGCTCAGGTGCAGAGGAGAGGCCTTTTGGTCTAGTGAAGAAGTCCRGGGCTCTCCCAAGTCAGAAATCGATGGCTTCCGGGATTTCACCTCTCCTGTAGCTGCTGCTTTTTATGTTTTGAGATCCTATTCGGAATAGTGACAAGGCAAAGGTTGACACTGGAATATATAAAATTTAGCTAAATATCCATCATAATTGAAGAAACTTGTAAGCAAGTTTTGTAAGTAAGTACATAAATGTCAGCCAGGATACTGACTTTGCATTTGTGACTGTTGTGTGCCAGTTATGTTAAGAGGATTTATTGTAAGCATCAGGTTGCTTTTACATTTTCCCTTTATTTTAAAATTTTGTTCAACAATGTGCCATGGGCTTTCTTTCTTATCTGCCTCAKTTACTTGAGCACCAGGTATGTTCAGGATGTCTTACTTTCAAAGTGTGCTGAAGGGTGGGGGGGTRTGGGGGCACAATTGCTTGGGGACCACCCAGCTGCCTTGCTAACACGAATCTTAATGCTATATCTTTACATAATCTGAAGTTACTTCAGGAGAACTTAGATAATCTAGTGGGAAGGTGCATTATTTTATATGTAGCATTACAGGTCTGCCCTTTATCATATAAGAGTTTTGGAAATGAGAAGTCCCTACATTAGTGATATAAACTTACTTAGCTGGAGATCATTCATTGCAAGATTCCAAGATTGGAAGTAACAGTAGGTAAGATCTGGTCCAACTCTTCTTTATTTCATTGATTAGGAAATTGACACCTGGTGAGGTAAGAGTTGTGGGATGTCACTGAGAATTAGTGGTAGATCTAAGTTAGAAATCTTATGTTTTGACTAAGTCCATTTTTTTCTTTTCATTTTAGTGTACTTGTTAGCCCATTTGGTAGGGTAGGAGCTAGAGAGAATGGATTTAATCAATGTAGAGTGAGTTCAAACTCCCTGTGGTCCCTGTGGCCTCAACTTTTTTCATGATTCCAGCCATCAGCTTTATGAGATGCTCTGAAAATGTTTTGGTATGTACTTTTCCAAAGATGGTCAGCAAGGTTCAGTTATTGTAGGAAGGAGAAAAAAATAGCATTAATTTATGTGGTTATAAAGATCAGGTGGACCAAATAAAAGTCGATTGGCCACCTACTTAACTGGTTGTCATGGTCAGGTGCTTGGAGCTGCAGGAGTTGATGGAGACCAATAAAATCATATCAAAAACCTTTCTTTTCATGATTTAAGTTGAGAGTTTATGGAAGAGAAATTGTTTATAGTATTAAGAACATGGGGGAACTGGGGATATAGCTCAGTTGGTAGAGTGCTTGCTTACCATGCACAAGGCCCTGGATTCAATCCCCAGCACCACAAAAAAAAAAAAAAAAAAAAAAAAGGAATATGGATTTGCAGGCATGCAAATTTCAGTACTGCATTAGGAATTGGGAAAGTTACTTATTTTGTTAGTGTCTCAGCTTTCCTAGTGTATGTGGCTTTCCTGTGAATTTTCTAGCAGCAAAAGAATTAATTGTTAAACAATTATTAAATTATGTTGTGTTAGATTGTTGACCTGGAAACTCTAAATTGTGGATCTTATTATCATTTAATCTCTGAATCATTTTATTCTTTTATAAAATGAAAGTATAAAAAACTTGTGAATTTAGTAATTACTGTAGAAGCATTTTGAACACAGAGTCCTACCTGGTAGCACATGAAAATTCCAGTGGGAATACTGTGATGGAAGGGAGGGAGAATAGCTGTTTAGCTGTAATTAGGGGGAAAGGACAACATGTAAGAACAGAATTGAGAATAAGTATTTTCTGGAAGAGGGTTAGATTCCTGGGCTTTCTGTTTTTCTTCCTTAAGGGGCATCTATTTGCCTAGAATACTTCTGGAGAAGAAACAATGGATTCCTTGGACCATATGCTGACAGATCCCTTGGAACTAGGTCCATGTGGAGATGGCCATGGTACACGAATTATGGAAGACTGCCTCTTGGGAGGCACCAGGGTTAGTCTACCTGAGGACCTTCTGGAGGATGTAAGTAGTAACATCATTGCAAGCATTTCCCCTCTTATCAGCTTCCCCATAGCAGCTATTCTGAACATTTTCTATTCCTAAGTTTTCTGTTTTTGTGCTCCCATTCATTTTATTTTCTACATTGCAGACAGAGTGATCTCTGTGCTTTTTTTTTTTAATGTGAAGTCTATTTAGTATGCCGATTAAGGAAGATTATATACATTCTGTGTGCTTAATAACGTCAGAATAATTTGGTAGTATAAGCCTTATTTTTAATAAGCTAATTTTTGTTAATTAGTAAAGGTTTATATTTTAAGAGCAGAATTGTATATGTGCTTACATTAAAATGGTTATTGTGTTGGGAATCACTAAACAAAACCCAGACGTATTATCTCTGTCTATATGCTAATCCTCTAGTCAAGTAAGAGTACATGTCCTGGGATAGGATGTCAGCGTACCCTTAATCACTTTCACAGGTAAGATGTATCATTATCATTATCATTAATGTGGTTACCATTTATAAAGTGCTTATGTGCAAGACCTATGTATGTGAAGACATTCATTTAAACATTTCGAACATGTAGATGTGTAGTATAATAAGCATATATGCAAATATGTACCTGTGCGTCAGTTTTAGAACATCATTTCATTTAGYTGTACTTGTTCCATATTTTTCTTTATTAATATTCAGACATTGTAGAGAAAATGAGAACCATTATTGTGCTCTTTTCTGATCCTCCTTTCTACTTGCAGTAGCAACTGTATTGAAGTTGGTATATATAGTTCCCATACTTTTTTTTTGAAATGAGGTCTAAGTATGTTGCCCAGTCACATCTGTATTTTCTTTATGTACTCTTTCAAGGCAATCTCTTTGTGTCATTGATTCAGCAAGCAATTATTTTATTAGTACCTGCTCTGGGCCAGACACTGAGTTAGGTGCTTGAAATAAAATGGTATGCAGAAGGGAAAGATCTTCAACWTTGAGTCTGAGATGCTTTTGATACATTTGAGCAAAAATGCCTGGTATATAGTTGGTTTGCTTGGTTGTCTCTTCCTTAAACCCTACATGGCTATTTTTTGTCCTTGGAATAAAGTCGTAACTACCTAATAGGTTTATAARTTATTTACTTCTGTCTTCTATTTCCTTCCCCACCTTCCTCATCCTTACTTAGACATTGCCTGAAAAAAAATTAATTAAAAAAAGATGAAATGCATCACATATAAGAAGAGTATGTAAAATACAGTTAAGCAGTAATAAAACATGCTATAAGCCAGGTGTGATGGCTCATACTTGTAGTTCAGCTACTTGGTAGGCTGACTTGAACTCAAAAATTAGAGGCCACACTAGACAACCTAGTGAGAACCTATCTCAAAATAAAATTAAATTGCTGGGGATATAACTCAATGGTACTATACTTGCCTAATTCAAGAGGCCCTGGGTTTAAACCCCAGTACCACCAAAAACCAAACCAAATCAAAACAAAAAACTTGGATGGTAATGAGGGTTGCATAACAATTGTGAATGAACTAGAATAAAGAGAAAACTAAAACAAAAGAGAAAATAAAAATTAAAATCCCAGAGTCAAATGTGAGTGTACTGAAAACCACTACACTGTACACTAAAAAATAATGTTTCATGTTACATTTATTTTACTACGTACACATAAGCTTATTTTTTTGTTTACTTTTCCCCTAAATTCTCCTAGCCTGAGATATTCTTTGATGTCGTCAGTCTCTCAACATGGCAGGAAGTATTAAGCGACTCTCAGCGGGAACACCTCCAGCAGTTTCTGCCTCATTTTCCTGCAGACAGTGTGGAGCAGCAGAATGAACTCATCCTAGCTCTGTTCAGTGGGGAGAACTTTCGCTTTGGAAACCCTTTGCACATTGCTCAGAAGCTTTTCCGAGGTCTGTAACTCAGCATTCTATTTTTGATAGGGTGGAGTGGGGGGACGGGTTGTTCACTTTTGCAGTTATGCCTTCATTTCCCCCCTCCCTCCAGTAACAGGGATTAAATCCATATTCCTACTTGTATTAAGCAAGTACTCTGCTACTGTGCTATATACTATCCCTTTTTATTTTTATTTTGAGACAGGGTCTTGCAAAGTTGCCTAGGCTGGCCTCAAATTTATGATCCTCCTGCTTCAGCCTCCTGAGCAGATGGGGTATACAGGTGTGTACCACTACACCCTGCTCTGTCTTTGGTTTATTCTGTTTATTTTAATTTATAGGAAATGACCCAGTGGAGAATTGCATTGTGTAATAGTGTGCTGCCTATGCTATATTTTTAAAATAAAATTTTGTTGACACATACAGGAAATACATAATAGGAATTGAGCTCTGTAACCACCACCCAGAACAAGACATAAAGGGCTGAGGTTGTGGCTCAGTGACGAGCACTTGCCTCGCATATGTGAGACACTGGGTTCAATCCTCAGCACCACATAAAAATAAACAAACAAAATAAAGATATTGTACCCATGTATAATTAAAAAAATTCTACCCCCCCCCAAAAAAAAAAAGAAAAGAAAGAAATATTACCAGCATCCCAGAGGTGCTCTCTATGACCAGTCTTCAAGGTTTTTTTAAGAAACAATTTGCCAGTCAGGCATGGTGGCGCATGCCTATAATCCCAGCAGCTCTGGAGGCTGAGACAGGAGGATCATAAGTTCAAAGCCAGCCTTAGCAACAGTGAGGCACTGAGCAACTCTGTGAGACCCATCTCTAAATAAAATACAAAATAGGGCTGGAGATTTGGCTCAGTGGTTGAGTTTTCAGTTCAATCCCCCGCCAAATTTGCCATTTGTTTTTTATTCCCTTAGAAAATGTGACATTTTACTACTAAGCACTTTATCATGTATCTCTCTTAACATGGACTTTTTCCCACATAATCATAGTCCTGTTATCTGACCCAAGAAATTTTATATTGAGCAAATAATATAGAATAGTGCATGTTCAGATTTTTAAAARTTGTCCTTAAATGTCTTCTGTAAGTTGCTGTTTAAATCCAGGATCTGTTCAGGGTTCATGCTTTTGGGTCTTGTGTCACTTCAGTTCTTTGACTTGAAAATTCTTTGCCCTTTTTTGTTGTCTTTGTAAGACATTGGTATTTGTTTGTTTTTTGACTGCTGAGCCACATCCCCAACTTGTTTATTTTTATATTTTTGAGACTGGGCCTCACTAAGTTGCCTCAGGCCTCACTAAATTGCCAAGGCTACCCTTGAAACTTGCTATCTTTCTTACCCTCCTGAGTTGCTGGGATTACAGAAATGTGTACCCAGTGACATTGGCATTTTTGAAGGACCTGGGACACTTGGATTGTGAAAGTCCTGCTCTCTGGGAATTTGTCATCTTGTTACTTCAAGATTAGGTTTGTGTCAAATGCTTTTGATAGAAACCCTGTATGGGAAATGTCCTTCCTATCGCATCATCTCAGGAGGCACATTGGTGTTACTTTTTCATTGTTGGTAGTGCGATGTATGGTCACTTTGTTAAGTGGTGTCTGTCCAGCCTCTGATTATAAAGGCACCTTTTATCCTTTGTAATTAAAAGGCCATGTGTGGGGTGGTATTTTGGGATCATATGATAATTTTATATATCTTTAAAGCCTTTCTTTTACCTACTGTTTATTTCATTTCTGATTCTTGACCAGGTAAACTATTACTTCAGAGGTTTTCAAAATGGGGGCCATGCGTAAGTCACAGTTTGCCCTGTGGTCTATGGAGAGGAGCAAAAGAAACTCCCCCTTCACTTATGGGGTGATTTTGTTTTGGCAGGATGCCCTGAAAGGGCAGCAGATCTCCCTGAGTTGTGTTAAATTGGTCAACTTGACAGTTGCTAAAACTACAGAGAACAGGCTTATAATTTCAAATATTTCATTATCTTAAGGATTTAAAATTAGCATTTCCTCATCTTGTTTGTTTTTATGGTGTCAGGGATTGAATCCAAGGCCTCACATGTGCTAGGCAAGTGCTCTACTTCTGAGGCATACCCCCAGACCCCTATTATTTTTTGAGACAGAGTCTTGCTTGCTATATTGCCCAGACTGGCCCAGAACTTCTGCGCTCAGGTGATCCTCTCATCTTAGTCTCCCAGGTAGCTGGGACCATAGGCATAATTCACTCCTGGGCATATTCCCTCCCATCACATTATTAACTTAAAAAGGATTTCCCCTCTGTGGTTGGCAGAGGTTTTCTTTACTGAAGCTAGAGTCTCAAGTAGAAGTACATTGTCCTCTCCTGTAGAATAGAGGGAGAGAAACTTGGTTGATTTAGAGAGGTTATATAAGGATGACATGCTTCCTCCAAATAGTGGGGTAGTCTGGTAAGGACACAGGGATGTCAGGGCAGACATTTCTCTATATTTTAGTCTTAAGTAGTGACATGTTTCAGTGTGCTGGTTTTGCTGATTTCAGTTGTGTTGCATGGTTTTTGCGATTATCAGTCTTAACTGAGCTATCGTTTTCTGCATTCTTTTACTTCTYGTTCTCTTGTCTGATTCTCTTGAATGCCCTTTAGTTCTGTGCTACAACTACATCTTAAACACCCATTAAATGTGTTGACTGGTATGTATATAGTTGTATCTTTATTTTTTTAAGATGGACACTTTAACCCTGAGGTGGTCAAGTATCGGCAGCTATGCTTCAAGTCACAGTACAAGCGATACCTCAACTCTCAGCAGCAGTATTTCCATCGACTGCTAAAGCAGATTCTTGCTTCCCGGAGTGTAAGTAATGCTGGGAACTGAATATAAAATATGGGCAGTATATGCACAGGTATCAAGAAATGGTTCAGAGGCAAAACACAGATGATAACCACTAAGAAAAAAATGCTACCAATTAAGCTRCAATACATTTAAGTTGTGTCTTTTTATTTTCCCTTTTCCCTTCCCAGCTATGTCTTTTTTTTTTCCTTATCAGTTTTATAATGTGTTTTGATTTCAGAGATGTTAAAACATGAAACAGTAAGTGCTTCCTAAAATTAATGAAATATAGTAGCTTCCATATTTACTAAGATAAACAAATGGATTTCAGATTCATCATGGGTTATTGAGGAAAACTAGGATGCTCTGGAATTGATGTGCAAGTGTACACAAGGCCTCTGCTGTGATGGACCTGTAGAACATAAAGCTCAGTGGCCTCTGGGTCTTTTCCAGCCAGGTAATTCTCAGAGGCAAAGTTGTTCTGAGTTCTTTAAGTGGTTTTTTGAACTTAAGTATAGAAATATTTGGATGTAGCATAAGTATTCATTTTCTGTGGAGAAATTCAGTGTTCAGATTTGGGATTTTTTTCATTAATATAGGTTGAGTAATCCTTATCTGAAGTCCTTGGAACTAGATGTGTTTTGGATTTCAGATTTTATTTACTTTTTTTGGATTTTGGAATATTTGCATACACATATTGATATCTTGGGTATGGGACCCAAGTCTAAACATGAATTCATTCATTTCAAATATACCTTATGTACATAGCTTAAAGGTAATTTATATACTATTTTTAGTACACTTTTGTTTTGACTTCAGCCTGTTATATGAGGTCAGGTATAGAATTTTCCACTTGTAGTGTCATGCACTCATAAAGTTTTGGATTTTGGAGCACTTTGGATTATGGATTTTGGATTAGGAATGCTCAACCTGTAATTAATATATGTCATTTTTATTTGAACATGTTCATGTATCTGCATCTTTCTCTATGATGGAGTGGGGAATTAAACTTTAAATGTAGCCTTACGAGTATACAGTGTATGTTAAAGATTTGATGATTACATGTATTCCCATTTGATTTTCTGCCTAGGATTTACTGGAGATGGCCCGAAGGAGTGGCCCAACCCTTCCCTTCAGGCAGAAGCGTCCTTCACCATCCCGAAGCCCTGAGGAGCGGGAGTGGCGGACCCAGCAGCGCTACTTGAAGGTCTTGAGGGAAGTGAAGGAGGAGTGTGGCGACACTGCCCCATCCTCTGATGAAGAGGGTGAGTGTCTTTGGGCACTTGGGTTAGCTGGGGCATTGGAGCCAGTGGTAGCCCATTTATCCCCTTGGTAAAGAAGTCCTTTATGAGTTGTCTTGTCTGGGGGGGTGGATAGTGGGACTCATTAGCCCTTGGTCTTTGAGTCACCGAGACACTGCTATCAGGTGGGAGTGACTCCATGCCCTTTTTACTSTGTGCTTATGTGGCACTTGAGTTAGTGAGAACCTCTTGGATTAATCCCTGCAGGGCAGGGTCTCTCCACAGTAGGCCTTCTGGTGCCATTGTGCCACTTGAGAGAACTGCTTTTCCCCTTACAGGAGAGTAGTAGTGACTGTTGGCCTGCTGCAATGCGACCCCATCACTCTGTTGAAGTCTCTCTTCCTGGAAGAGCCGTTTAAATGACCTAAGTGTGCTCCAGCTCATCTGGGGAAGGGTCAGAAAGGAATGTGGAACCCTGGCCTCCATGTTGTTGGCTTAGCCCTGTTGAACCCAAATGGCCACTTACCCAATCTCCCCTATTGGAGTCCACAGCCACGTTGGATTTACAAGAAAAATTTTCTTTTGAAGATCTCAGCTCATGGCTTCCGAGCTCTCCAGCGCGTTCTCCTAGTCCTGCGGTGCCCCTGAGGGTGGTGCCCACGCTTTCCACCACGGATATGAAAACTACAGGTGAGAACTGAGCTGATGCCATTGCTATCCTAGGAAATCACAGTGCAGAAGTGAGAACTCCTTAAAGGGAGGTAGTGTCTAGATTCCCGCCTGCCCCAAAACAAGCAGTGCTCCTTAAATGAAGGTGATGGGGATAAGTTTTTGTACCATTCTGCTTTTTTTATATCTAGAGGTAGACCTTCTTTCATTTAAAAACAAAAAACAAAAAACAATTGTCCAGAGCTGATCAGCTAGTGTTTTGGGATATAGAAAGCAGAATTTTGAAATAATAGTTCAGTCATAGCACAAAAGAGATAACCAGAGCTTTAGCAATTCCTTTGAATGTCTCTGAAATTGGAGAAGAATTTGAATTTGGAATAGGAATCAAAAATGTTATGAAGCTTAAATGTGCTTTTAGACCAGCCAAGTAACAAAATCATTTAAAAAAAAAAAAAAAAAAAGGAAAGGAGAAGTGCTGACGGTGACTGAATAAAGGTTTTTGGTACTTGTAGTACACAGGAATCAAAAGGGAAACTCAGAGGATTATCTTACTTTTGAATGTCACAAGTGACCAGGAAGATTTAAATTAGAGCACTGTTGTAGTGAATGACCTAGTCCATGTGGTTTGGTTCATTTTCTCTCAGATAAAATAGAACTGGGGGACAGTGACCTGAAGATAATGTTAAAGAAGCACCATGAGAAGCGGAAACATCAACCAGTAAGATTGGGATGGATGTGGCCAGTTGTGATTTTCAGTTGACTCTCTTTGGCATGGTTATCCCGAGGAGGATACTAGTAGTCACCACCTCTTTTGTGCTTCTCTGTTATTGTTAGAGGATGGGAGCAATTAGAGAGGCTAATTAGCATCAGAGATAAGAGGTGATGACAGGTGTTTTGGCTTTATAAGGCAAGCTTCAAGCTTTGCCACGGCACTGTTTGGTATGTGAATGAATTGTCTCCATGTCTTCAGCGCTCAGCAAGGTTAAGGAGTTTGTCTTCAGTCAAACAGCCAGTAAGTGCTAGAGCTGAGAGCCAGACCCTTTTCTCTCCGTACTTTTTACTATTTCGGTTATTCCACTCAACTAAATCAAGCCAGAGAGTACGATGGAGAAAAGAGGGTAGTCTGGGCAGAGCAGTGAGATAAGAAGAGTCCTACATTGGAAGTCAGAACATTGAGCAGATCCCTTAACTCCTCTGAATGCTTTTTTCAAACATTTTAAACACTAACAATATTAGGAAGACTGCTTGAAGAGCACATGAGATAAGGAATGCAGAAGAGCTGTATGAATTGTAAATGCCGTGCAACAGAACACCAAAGTTTCCCCTGTGTACTATTATGAAGAGCAATTGTTTTTATCTCTGTGTAGTTTTAATTCAACATGATTTCCTCAGGTGTCTGGGACATCTGGTTGTTAGGTAAATTGGCACAGTCACCATCAGTTTTTGCTTCCTTTCTGGGCCATAACCAAATCTCTGAATATCACATCTAGGATCACCCGGACCTTTTGACAGGGGACCTGACCCTCAGTGACATCATGACTCGAGTAAATGCTGGCAGGAAGGGCTCACTAGCAGGTAAAGGACTATAGGTCTCTTCCTCCGGATGATTTTCACCTGACTTTGGTGTTAAATTGTATGAGTCTGTCTACATGTGGCAAAAATAAATGAATCCACATCTTTCATGCTGATACCTTTTACTTTGTTACTGCCCTTAGGAATTCAAAATTAATACAAAGTATCATTAGGTGTTAAAATTAAGCTGTAAATCACTCATTCCATTTTGTCTTAAAAACATCTAAATATCTTAGTAAATTACTAAGACTTTTCTTTGTTGGGTTTGAGGAAATACGCAGATAAAGACCCCTTATTTCTAATATAGAAGAAGCAGTTCAGTGACTTATGTTCCTTATTCTTCCCAGCCTTATATGACTTGGCTGTCCTTAAAAAAAAGGTGAAGGAAAAAGAGGAAAAGAAAAAGAAGAAAATAAAGCTGATTAAATCAGAGGCAGAGGATCTGGCTGAAACTTTGAGCAACACTGAAGGGGTCCCACCTCTCTCACAGGCCCCATCTCCACTGGCAATACCTTCTATCAAGGAAGAGTAAGTGAGCAATAGATTACATGGTGTTAAGGTTTAAGTTTGGAGATTAAGCTGGAGGCTATAACTGTTCCTTTGAGGCATGTGTGAGTTGGCTCTGAGTGTCAGGGATCCTGTTAGGAAAATGTATTGTGTGTCCCTTTCTTGAGCTTTTATAACTGCTAGGAAGTTTGGGGGACTTGAACAAATTTAGAATGTGTTTTTGGTCTTTGTGGTTGTTGTTATATTTTTCTTCTCTCATTAGGCCCCTGGAAGACCTCAAGCCTTGCCTTGGAATCAATGAGATTTCTTCCAGTTTTTTCTCTCTTCTATTAGAGATCTTGCTTCTGGAGAATCAAGCTAGCCTTCCTATGGTAAGAGTTTTGGAAAAGTCAGATGTACATCAAAGATTTTTTTTTTTTTTTTTATTTTTGGTAGATGGACAAAATACCTTTATTTCATTTATTTTTATGTGGTGCTGAGGATTGAACCCAGTGCCTCACACGTGCTAGGCAGGTGCTCTACCACTGAGCCATTACCCCAGTCCTGTACACTAAAGTTTTGAAATTATTGGAATCCCTAGCTTGAGGGGATTCCTCCCAAAGCTCTGCAGCCAGCTTGCTCTGGGACTTGGGTAACTTGAGCAAACGGACCCAGCTTGCACTAGCATGTCTTGAATTGCTGATATAGAGAATTTAACTGGCTTCTGTCTTCCTTTTCTCCCCGYCAGCTGGAGGAAAGAGTTTTGGATTGGCAGTCATCTCCAGCCAGCTCCCTCAACAGCTGGTTCTCTGCAGCCCCTAACTGGGCTGAGTTGGTATTGCCTGCCCTTCAGTATCTTGCTGGAGAAAGCCGAGGTAAGGTCATTTTTTTGAAGGGTCACTGTTTTTCTTTTTTTGTCTAAATTCTTAGACAAATTCATAGAGAAATTTTTGCCTAAATTCTTGTTTGGTCTATTTTGCCTTTGCATCATACCATGTCTTTTGCYACACCATAAAGTTCTCAGAATCTTTCAGAGCTCAGGGGTATGTAGCCTTTTGTCCTGAGTTTAACACATTCTATCACCTGTGTGGTTGGTTCATGTGATTTATTTCTTGCAGCTGTTCCTTCCAGTTTCTCTCCATTTGTTGAATTCAAAGAGAAAACCCAGCAGTGGAAATTGCTTGGTAAGTAATTTGTATTACCTACCTTTCTCCTGTCCTCTCCAGCTTCTTATGTATTCTAGTCAATATAGTGCAGGAGATTGGCAAAAGGGCGATATTCGACTTTATTTTTGTCTGTGAAGGAATTCTTTAAGACCCCTGTACTCTTAAAGTATAGGTTTCATCTCCACCCCCATTTGGACTTTGCTCCCAAAGCTGAAATGGAATAGTCTTTTTATTTTTTTTTAATTTTTATTATTATTTTTATTTATCTATGACTGCAAAATGCATTACAATTCTTATTACAAATATAGAGCATAATTTTTCATATTTCTGGTTGTATACATAGTATATTCACACCAATTCGTGTCTTCATACCTGTATTTTGGATAATAATGATCATCACATTCCACCATTATTAATTACCCCATGCCCCCTCCCTTCCCCTCCAACCTGTCTGCTCCATCTAGAGTTCATCTATTCCTCCCATGCTCCCGCTCCCTATCCCATTATGAATCAGCCTCCTTATATCAAAGAAAACATTTGGCGTTTGGTTTTTTGGGATTGGCTAACTTCACTTAGCATTATCTTCTCTAACTCCATCCATTTACCTGCAAATGCCATGAGTTTATTCTCTTTTATTGCTGAGTAATATGGAATAGTCTTTTTATTATGATATAGCCTGTGGATGGTGACATTCAAATCTGCTGTTGTATTTTATAGTAGCATCAGCATTTATATTAAGCATGCCAATGGTGTGGGATTCATTTGTACTAYAGTTATTTTTATTTATTAAAAATGGGCTTTTTTATTAAGGATGATGTGCAGTGAGATATAGGACTGCCCCAAGTAAAGCAGTTTCTAAAGAACAGTGTCCTTTATTTTAAATTTATAAAGTTCTGCTTACTCTATTGGCTGTTACCTGGTGATGGTGATAAGAGAATAATTTAATTCAGTATTGGTTTTCTACTGAAATTCCCAGAGGGTTTGCTGTCTACATCAGAAGGGCACAGATGAGGCTGTCATCTAGGGAGGAAGTGTCAAGTGAGGAAAAAAGAGGGTTGAGGACTAAGCCTTGAGAAACTCCACAGTAGAGACAGCTGAATGCAGCTCATGTAGAGAGGACATGGCTACAGAGACAGGAAGAAAATTCTGAGGTTGTTGACTCTTGGGAGCCAAGTGATTAAAAGATTCAGTAGGGTAAATATAAGAGATTGTAAATATGGAACAGATTGCAAAATTTTTAGTGAATAGTGAATCCTTAGTGAAGGATGAGGGTTGGGGACAGTGTGAGTTGAAGGTGATTCATGGTGCTGCTGTGCCTATGGTCTTCAGGTCGTGGCTGGAGTCAACCATAGTGATAATATTTACACTGGCTCTGCAAACTGTCCTTATAAGACCAGATAATAAGTACTTTAAGCTTGTGGAATAGATGCTTTCTGTTATTACCCCTTATCTCTGCCATTATAATGCTCAGCTTCCAGACAGTAGGGGAATGAACAGGTGGGGATGTTTTCTAYAAAAATATATTTACAAAAGCAGGTGGCTAGTTTGCCATGTATTGGTGTACACCATGGGAATCTGTAAATGTGACCAGTCAGGGCCCCCTTTCGTATAACCAGTTAAAAATTTACCAGCACATCACTGATTAAAGAGCCAGTGAATTTCTAGAGATTTAGCTGGGCAAGGGCAGGATAGTAAGGGAGATTTGTGGCCAATAGAGGAATTTTAAATGGGAGAAACCTTGAGTAAGTTTAAATGTTGATGGGAAGGGTACTGTGGACCTTGAGGAGAAGATTGAACATGAAAGAGAGAAGGGAAAATGCATCACATATATTCCTGGGAAGTGGGAAGACGGTGAGCTGTGTATGGCAGGAGCTAGCACATTTCTTCCTAACTAGCAGGAGGAAAGAAGGAAATAATGGATATATAGCAGTGGGCTGATTGGTCTTTGTAGGAAGTTTGGTCTGTTGACATTTTCAGTGTAAAGTAGAAGGTGAGAGAGGTGAGATTGTTGCTGATGAGAAGGGAAGTCTGAGGAGAGTAGGAGATGGTCATTGTGTGAAGCAGTGTGACCATAGATGACATAGGATAGCTAGGAAGTCATGAGTGCTGCCAGGGGAGGCTGCTCATTGTTCACTTCTTTGGCTTTCTTCTGTTTGTGCACTTTTTCCTCTAGGGGTCCTCAGCTGCTTAATTTGAAGCATGGAGAATGTGGATAGTTCAGAATTTGAATTTTGCTAGATTGAAATGATGCAGAAAATCAGAGGGCAGAGGTAAAGGTATTACTCTGTTGGGAAGCATATTACTGGACCAGGAATCTGCACTGAATGGAGAGAAAAGAGAGAKAGATCTGGGCCAGTGGCAGCTGAGAAGTAGAGGTGTCATTGGGAACTGTCCTGCTGGGTCCAAGTGAAGCTTTCATGGGAGTAAACGGGCAAGGTGAAATCCAGGCCATTATGTTTAGAAAGCAGAGTGTGGGTTCTTCATCCTGACTGGCTGTGTACTATGGTCAGTGGAATTTTTWAAAAAAAATATCTATTCCTGGACCTTACCACAGGGATTCTGATTAAATGGTTGGGATGGGGTCTGAACTTTGATATTTTCAAAAGTTTCCAGGTAATTCTTCAAAATGCAACCCCAGTTGAGAAACTGAAGTAGGCATTTTGAAAATAGAGCAGCTTTAGGAACTGGCAGAGTCCAGTTGTGCTTGTGGGAATGATTGAGTGGAGTGGAGTGGAGTGGAGTGGAGTGGAGTGGAGGGAGGAGGTTATGGTAGAGGAGGAGATTTCACCAACTGAGAGGTTAGGATATTGGATATACTGCTCATGTGGATGTGGGTCTTCCTCATAGTGGCAGGGTGTGGAGTAGTCAGAGAGGGTGAGCCAGTTCCTGTGAGGAGAAAGGACTAGATGCAAAACCGCAGGAGTGGGGATTGGGGTGTACAGGTGGAGAGCAAAAGCCTCAGGGAACAGGCTTCCCCCCAGCTTTATTGATGTGTAATTGATACATTAAAAACTGCTTATTTAATGTATGTAATTTGATGAGTTTGGACATACACGCATACACCTGGGAACCATCCCCACAGTCAAGATAGACCTTTCAAACTTCTGTATCTCCCTTCCCCCTTTTTCTGGCAAGAACATTAACATGACATCCATCTTCTTAATAAATTTCGAAGTGGCACAGTACAGTTTCATTAAGTACACAACTAAGTCCTACAGCAGGTCTCTAGAACTTATTCATCTTGACATTTCATAATGGAAACTTCATACCTTTGGAGCAGCTATTCCCCTACTTTGATTTTACTACTCCTGCTCCTGGTAACTATCAATTCTGTTCTCTGTTTCTGTGACTTTGAGCATTTGAGGCACCCTGTATAAGTGTTAAGTGAAATAAATTTGTCCTTTAATTTATTTCACTTAACATAGTGTCCGTTAGGTTTATCCTTGTTGCAAATGGCAGGATTTCCTATTTTCTAAGACTGAATAATACTCCATTTTATGTTATAGCATATTTATTCATTCATCCACTGATGGACATTTGGGTTGTTTTCATATCTTGGCTATTGTGAATGATGCTGCAGGGCACATTGGAGTGCAGATATGTGTTTGAGATCCTGATTTCAGGGTTTTTTTTTTTTTCCCCCTTATAATTAGAAATGGGATTGCTTGACCATATGGTAGGTCTGTTTTTAATTTTTTTGAGGAGCTTCTGTACTATTTTTCATGGTTACTGCACCATTTTACATTCCTACCAACAGTGCATAAGGTTTCTCTTTTCTCCATATTCTTCCCTCTACTTTATCTTTTTCTTTTCTTGTCTTTTTTAACAGTAGCCATCCTAATAAGTGTGAGGTGATATCTCAGTAGTACTTTTGATTTGAAGTTCCTTGATGATTAGTGATATTGAGCACCTTTTCATGTACSTGTTGGCCATTCATATTTCTTCTTTGGAATAGAAATATAAGAATTRTCTATTCAGGTTCTTTGTTCCTTTTTAAATCATGTTGGTGATTTTCTTATCATTGATTTGTAGATATTCCTTATATAATTTAGATGTTTTAGCCCTTTATCACATATATCGTTTGCAGTTATTCTCCTTCTATTCTGTAGCTTGGCTTTTCTCTCTGTTGATTATTTCTATGCTRTGCAGAAGCTTTCTAGTTTCCTGTTATCCCATTTACTTGTTTTTGCTTTTGTTGCCTATGCTTTTGGTATCATATCAAAAAGGTTAAGACTAATCTCATRGAGCTTTCTGTGGTTTTCTCATAGGAGTTTTATAGTTTCAGGCCACATGTTTAAATGATTAAACCATTGGTTTTTGCATATAGTATGATGGAAGAATCTAATTTCATTCTTTTAAATGTGGATATCCAGTTTCCCCAACACTGCTTTTTGCAGACTGTCTTTACCTCATTGAATGTTCTTAACACCCTGGCCAAAAGTGAATTGACTATATGCGTGGGTTTATTTCTGGGTTYTGTGTTTTAGGAACAGGCTTTTGTTCTTATTTTTCTAAAAAGAACTAGGAGAGGGCTTGCTCGCCTAGCATGTACAAAACCCTGGGTTTGATCCTCAGCATCACATAAAAATAAATAAATAAAATGAAAGATATTGTGTCCATCTACAACTAAAAAAAAAAAAAAATTAAAAAAAAAGAACTAGGAGAAATGTCTGAAATCTTTGAAAAATCTCACCTCTGTCTCCTGACTTCATTGAAGGACATGGCTATGAGAGAATGAGCAGTCAGCCTCCCTATAGTTAAGAATCAAGGGAGAACCAATTTTCTCTCAGAAAATACCTGAAAACCATATATGTGATAAAGGGCTAATATCTAAAATATATAAGAACCACCAAACAGGAGAAAAAGATGGGCGATAGAACTACCTGGTTTTGCAGTAGCATTTCTGGAAGCACAAAGGTTCCTGGAGATGGGTATTGGTGGTATTGTATRCCAACTACTGAAATCAAAGAGAAGCATCTTGGTGGATGTGACCTTTTTGGGAAGCACAGGGACATTCTCTCACAAGCAGACCTGGATGATGCTGATTAATGGTGACTTCTAGTCTAGCCTGGTTAAGAGATTTAGGTACATTATGTGTCAAGAGCTTCAGGAGGRCTCTGAACAAATGAGAGAAGGGCACCGACAGAGTGATTTTCTTTTCTAGGCAGACCAGGAGGAGTCCTTTTTTTTTCTTCTTCCCCTGTCTTAGGCTTCTGATTGCTGTGCCAGTGTTTAGAATGCCTTTGTGGCTCACTAGCCAATCCCTGTTGTAAGTTTTCATAACATGTGATGCCTACCACTTTCCATATTGGGTTTATTTAATATATGCTCTTTTCTCACTTTACTATAAACTTCTTGAGGGCAGAGACTGAATTCACTGGATGACCCCAGCTTCTCCACAGGTAGTACCTGGCACATAGTGGTTACTCAGCAAATACCTGTTGAGTGAATTGTCTAAGGAGGTGATACATAGCAGTGAGGGTATAGTCTGTGAAGGGAAAGGCAGTGCTAAGGATCTTGGCTTCAGTCCTGATGTATTCTCTCTTTGTCATAGGTTAAGAAGGTAAAGAGAAAGGGGGATTCTGAGTTACACCTTAGATTTTGTCTTCTTTCCCCCACTTTCTTATAGGCCAGTCTCAAGATAATGAAAAGGAATTAGCTGCGCTCTTCCAGCTGTGGCTAGAGACCAAAGACCAGGCCTTTTGTAAGGTATAATTTTTCAAAATACCAACTCTTCCCCTTTTGTTTTCTAGAACTCTCAAATTAGTGAAAATTCTCCAGTCCATTTACCTGTTAATGTTTTCCTTTTCTCCAGCAAGAAAATGAAGACAGCTCAGATGCTACAACACCTGTCCCTCGGGTGTGAGTATAGCACTCTAATGGTGGGTGGTATCCCATGAAACTATGATTCCTGGTACTTACATGTCTTAGTCTGTTAGAGCTGTAATGGGCCTGAGAGATCATAAGAATTTGCTGATTCTCACCTGCCTAATATACCTAACGAGGGCAATATATATCCATTGATATGAATGGCTGCCTGTGGAAGGAGTTCTTTCTTTTTTAAATGTTTATTTTAGTTGTAGATGGATATAAGACCTTTGTTTTATTTATTTATTTTTATGTGGTGCTGAGGATCGAACCCAGTGCCTCACATGTGCCAGGCAAGTATCACCAAGCCCCAACCTCAGCCCCAGGAGTTCTTGATGCTAGGAGGGGATGTGCAGTAGAGTCTGAGGGGATTTGATCTMCCTTATATGTGAACATACTATTTTCCACATGTTGTCCTCCTGGGTTTCCCATTTGAAAATGAGTTATCTAACCCATCCTCCTCCTTTCTTTTCTTTTTTTTTAATTTTTTTTAATATTTAGTTTTTAGTTTTAGGTGGACACAATATCTTTTATTTTACATTTATGTGGTGCTAAGAATCAAACCCAGTGCCGCAAGCATGCTAGGCGAGCATTCTACCATTGAGCCACAACCTCAGCCCCCCAACCTCCTCATTTCTGTAAAGAAGTTGGGTTATGAGGTTACATTATTTGTTGAGGGTTAGTGACAGGAATTCACTAGAATTTACATCCCGTGAGTGACTCCTCTCATATTGCTCTTTCCTGTCTGGTGTGGTTTTGCAGTTAGATTTTTTTTTTTTTTTTTCAGCATGGAGGATTAAACCTAGGGCCTCATGCATCTTAGGCCAGTACTCTACCCATGAGCTGCACCCTAAGCCTGTGCATTTAGTAGAAGTGGGGGTAGTACAAGCATTTGTAAGTTTCCTGTGAGCCAGGAAATATACCCTTGCTATCTAATTTTTCGTTGCCATTAAATTGGATTTAGCAGCAAGATATCAGCTTAATTTCCACCTGCCCAATACTTTTCTGGATTTCTAAGTATCAAGTAATTTTTGGAAATACCATCAAGAGTTACTTGGTAGGAGCTGGAAAGTGGAGTTTGTAAGAGTTGAGTACATCTAAAGGGACATTTCTGAAGGGACATTTTTTKTGTGTGTTTCAAAGAGAATGGTTCTGGGTGTTAAAGAAAGGAGATGGATCTGTGACCTATCTGCTAGTAAGTCAGAGTTAAGACAAAATTCTTTATGTTTCAGAAGAACTGACTATGTGGTGCGGCCCAGCACTGGGGAGGAGAAACGGGTTTTTCAGGAGCAGGTAAGAAATATGGAGAAGATAGAGTAGGTCTGTTTCTGTGAGGCCCTGTAGATTGAAGTGCTGAGCCTGACTCTTGAGTCTACCTTCATGGAGGAAATTCATACCTTCACCGTGGATATTCTGTTGGTTGGGATTGATTGTGGCGGGGGCGTGGGGGTTGCAGAAGTGATGTGGGGAAAGTTTTAGTCTGTTAGAGCTGTAATGGGCCTGAGAGATCGTAAGAATTTGCTGATTCTCACCTGCCTAATATACCTAAGGAGGGCAAAAAAAAAAATGTATATATATATATGTATATGTATATATATATGTGTGTATATATATATATATATATATATATATACACACAGTATATATATAATGTATATATAGAGAGAGAGAGAGAAACAAACTACTTTGATGATTTCTTTAGCAAAATGCATTTTATTTCTTCATCCTTTGCTCAATAACCAGTTCTGAGGACCATCCTTTTCTCACTGTAGTTGGCTCGTCATCCTTGGGGGAATTTTTCATTCCATTCCCATTTTAATCTCCCCATGTGGATCTAGAGTGAACTCCACTGATTCTGACTCAGAAGCCTTCTCCCTTTTCTCTGTGTAGGAGCGTTACAGATACAGCCAACCCCATAAGGCATTCACCTTTCGCATGCATGGCTTTGAGTCTGTGGTGGGGCCAGTGAAGGGTGTGTTTGACAAGGAGACTTCCCTCAACAAAGCTCGGGAACATTCCCTTCTGCGCTCTGACCGGCCTGCCTATGTCACCATCCTGTCTCTTGGTATGTGGTGATTTATTTTTTCATTCTGAATCTTTCCTCAAGTCATCTCTGTCCTCCCTGCATACCCCCCACCCGCCTCCTCCACCCTGGGGTGAGTCAGGCGTAGCATTTGGAAGCTTTGAATTGGGAAATGAAGGGGGGATTCTGCTCTTAGAGATTGGTGGCAAGAATCACTGTTCTTTTCTGAAGGTGTGCTATTATTTATGTTCATTTAGGAAGTGCTCAGAGGCCAGCTGAATAGGTTTAACTATATCACTTTGCTTCCTTAAAGATTTTGTTGTGCCATGAATCCCTTTGGCAGTCTGGTGAAACTCATGGATCCCTTCCCATAGTTATACTAATTCTAAATATACATTAAATTCTTAGAGTTATAAAGAAGCCAATCATATTGAAATAGTTATCAAAACAATTAAAACAATGTGTAGAAATATGAGTTTTTGTTTTAATTGACAGGATCTAGCAACAGGTTTTATAAATATATCTGTAACTTCCAGATATGGAGATGTGTTTGACATTTATAATATGAAAATATTTAATTTCTCTTACAACATCGCAGCACTGCCAATACATGGTTTATTACCTTGTGTTTATAATCAAAGGAGATTCTAAATTTCAGTGAAAGATAAATTTTTCTTACCTGAATTGATGGACCCACTGAATTCTAAGATATCTGTGGACTTTATTCTTGCCTCTGTGAAAGTGTGTAGGAAACACCAGTGGCAGAGCTTTCAGCCACTAGGGGTCAGTGTGCCCGATGCTGAGTTGGGAGGCTGAAGAGCACTAACTGCAGGGAGCATCACCCCACTAGAGCAAGTAGGGGGATATTGCTTGACTCTTGGGCTTTGCATTTCCTAATGTTATCAGTTCGGGATGCAGCAGCTCGGCTGCCTAATGGAGAAGGCACACGGGCAGAGATCTGCGAACTGCTCAAGGACTCCCAGTTTCTTGCACCAGATGTTACCAGCACTCAGGTAAATTGGAGAAACAACTTTGCTTTGCTTTCTTTCAGAATGTATTTCAGAAAACTTTTTAGAGGGCTGGGGTTGTGACTCAGTGGTAGATCATTTGCCTCAGCACGTGTGAGGCACTGGGTTCTATCCTTAGCACCACATGAAAATAAATTAATAAACAAAGCTATTGTGTCCATCTATAACTAAAAAATATTTTAAAAAAAGAAGGAAAACTTATTAGGAAACATAGGAGGATCACTAAGTTCAGAGCCAGCCTCAGCAACTCAGAGAGGCCCTAAGCAACTTAGTGAGACCCTATCTCAAAGTAAAAAATAAAAATGGGCTGGGGATGTGGTTCAGTGGTTAAGCACCTCTGGGTTCAATCCCTGATTATTACCTCCCCCCCCCCCCCCGGAAAATGAAGAAAAACCGGTGCAGTGGTGTACCTATAATCCCAACTAATCATGAGGCTGAGGCAGGAGGATTGTGAGTTTGAGGCCAGCCTGGACAACACAGTGAGAACCTGTCTCAAAAGCAAAAACACAACTAAATGAAGAAAGGAAAAAAAAAAAAGAACTTGAAAAATGCACACAGTGGTGACCAAAACCCCTGTCAGTGAAACACAGAAGCAGCTCTAGGTTTTCCTTTAGCTTATAGTAAAAGAAAAGTTGCTATAGTTAGAATTCAAAATATTCTTACAGTGAAAACATCACTGTCTCAGGAATTTTTTTTTTTTTTTTTTTTGTCTCAGGAATTTATAGCATTTTTTGTTTTGCCAGGTGATTTGGTGAGCCACTAAGAAGACATAGCTAGACTGAGATATAGTCTGTTATATCGTCAGCTATGAATCATCTAGGGATTTTTCTCTGGATTCCAAACAGCTTCTRTTATCTGGCTCTGGCCTGACCCTTACTTCCCTTTTCTCTGTTCTCAGGTCAACACAGTAGTGAGTGGTGCCCTGGATCGACTACATTATGAAAAAGATCCTTGTGTGAAATATGACATTGGACGGAAGCTGTGGATCTACCTGCATCGGGACCGGAGCGAAGAAGAGTTTGGTGTGTGAGGCTTCTGGGGAGTGTGTCCAAGTAGAMCAGTGATGATTCTGACTTTCTGTCCCAGTTCCATCATTCTTTCCATTGGCATTCAGGTAGAATAGGATTATGGAGGCAGGGTCTTACCACCAGCAAGGCCTTGGGTTTTAGCAAAGTGCCCCCCCCCACTCCCACCCCCTTAATATACTAAGATCCAAATCTTGCTGAAGCTTCGCACTTTTGTTTATAGAGCGGATTCACCAAGCACAAGCAGCTGCGGCTAAAGCCAGAAAAGCCCTTCAGCAAAAACCCAAGCCCCCATCCAAGGTGGTAAGTGATCTCATGAAGAACCCTCTTGAGAATCCTGGGGCTAGGTCTAGGTACTTAACACTGTGCATCAGGAGCCGAAGAGTCCACCCACGCCTTCCTTTCTGGAGCCTTTATGACACCTGTGGTAAATTTCCCTTTCTCATCTTTTCTAGAAGTCCAATAGCAAGGAGACTTCATTAAAAGTCCTCAGCAGTGGACCTTCTGAGCAAAGCCAGATGAGCCTCAGTGACTCTAGTATGCCACCCACCCCAGTAACTCCTGTAACCCCCACCACACCAGCATTGCCTACCACCCCAATTTCCCCTCCGCCTGTGTCATCAGTGAACAAAAGTGGCTCTACTTCTGTCTCAGAACCAGCTAAGTCTAGTTCAGGGTAAGTGCCTCTGTTTTGTTTCTATATTTTCCCCTCCAAAATCCTCTTGTATGCATGTTCTAAGGTTGTTTTCTTTGTGTGTGTGTGTGTTTGGGGCTATGATGGAATTCAGGAGCATTATATGAGCTATATACCCACACCTTTTTGAAAACTTTTGTTTTTGAGGTAGGGTATTGCTGAGTTGCCCATGCTAGACTCAAACTTTTTATCCTCCTGTCTCAGCTTCCTGAGTAGCTGGAATTACAAGTGTGTGCCACCACTTAAATTCTTATTTTTGTTTCCTTGATGTTCCTCATAGGGTTCTTCTGGTGTCCTCACCAACAATGCCACAGCTAGGAACAATGCTATCCCCAGCTTCCAGCCAGACTCCACCCAGTTCACAGGCTGCTGCCCGAGTTGTAAGCCACTCTGGCTCAGCTGGACTGCCCCAGGTGCGGGTGGTGGCTCAACCTAGCCTTCCTGCTGTCCCACAGCAGTCAGCAGGACCAACACAGACACTGCCACAGATGCCACCAGGACCACAGATCCGGGTGCCAGCCACTGCCACACAGACCAAAGTAGTACCCCAGGTAAATGGAAACTGTAGGTCACTGGGAAACAGGACTGTGGACTGACTGAGGTAGGCTGATGAGTCAAATGGTCAAAGTCTGGAGAAGGACCAGGGGATCATAGATTGTTGTTCCTGAGGATAAAGTTCACTAAGATAACTCATTTTATATTTAAAACCATGTAAGCATTTTTAGATACTCTGTTTTACATGTTGGAAATCAGACCTTCAGGAGAACTTCAGTAATTTTCCCATTGTTCAAACAATAGTACCGTTGTAGAGGTGGGATATAAATCTGATAAACCTTTTAGTTTAAATCTCAGGCTCCTTCCATTGTGCCTTAGCCATGTGTCTTGGGTATCCCAATGACTGTCTGTATGATTTTACAGAAGATTTTTATCCTCTTTACTTCATTTTTCTCTTATTGTATATAAAAGGAGAATATATGCCCTGAATATGTAGGAATAACCAGATGCTAAATGTAAAGATGTTCTGAAAATTAAAGTGTTTTATACAAATACAGGAAATTTGCAGTGTCTGTTTCAGAGAGTGTTGAGCCTTGAACACTGAGAGAGTAGTAGGACTTTTAGAAGAACATTCTTGGGTGGTGACACATGGGGAGATCCTGCCTTGGAGTGCTGATTTCCATTTCAGGGTCTAATTGACCTCTCTGCCTCACACCTTGAACAGGCAGTCATGGCCACTGTTCCAATCAAAGCGCAAACTGGGGCACCCAGTGTACAGCGGCCTGGACCCATGCAGACAGGGCTTACGGTGACAAGTCTCCCTGCTGCAGCCAGCCCTGTGAGCAAGCCAGCCACAAGTTCCCCTGGGAGCTCGGCTCCAAGTGCCTCTACAACTGCAGTCATTCAAAATGTTACAGGACAGAACATCATCAAGCAGGTACGTGGAATTCTCCAGGTGGTTCTCTCTTTTTTTTTTTTTTTTGGTCCCAAAACAGAAACCTCAGGCTGGAGGTCCTGAACAGACAGATGTCTGTGGAAAAAAGATTTGTCATCTTGGGCTCTTTGTTTATAGGTTCTTCAGCTATGTTTCCGTTCAAGACAGTTGCAATTTCTGTGGATGCTCAAGGGATGTCTTCCATTTCTTTCCATATAATTTAGCATTTGGTAGTAGTTTATGGATTTAGTGAGACTCTCCAAGGACTTATTTAAATTCCCATGGCCATATTCTAATTGGCTTTTCAGTTTACACCAGTAATGGTAGAATACATTTGTATTTGCAGACTMGTAGAAATATTGACAGGAGTGCTTCCTATGTATCTGTACCATGCCTTGCCATTTTATAGATGTTAGTGGTCTGTTTCTCAAGCACTGGAGGGTGATAGATACTTCTGTTATTCTCATTTTATAAATGAAGTGGAGTTATATAACAATGAAGTAGCCTTTTCATTCAGCAGTTGTTCACTGTCTCTTGTGGCAGGCACTATGTGAAGGATTGGGGATTTAGTAGTCTGTTAAGTAGACTGAGCCCTGCCTTTGTGGAATTTGTGTTCTCGGAGGGCAAGGAGACAGATAAGTACATCAGTGTCAGAGAATAAGAGATGCTGTGAGGGGCTTGGGATAAAGCTCAGTTGGTAGCACAAGGCCATGGGTTCAATCCCCAGCATCATACACACACACACACACACACACACACACACACACACACACACACAAAAGAGAGATGCTGTGAGGCTCAGTAGACAGGGCAGTGTTGGAGAATGGTAGTGTGCTAATTTCATCCACGATGATGGGAGTTGGCCTCTATGAGGAGATGAAATTTGAGGGAGACAAATGAAGTTGGTGTGCTATGGTTACGATGATGACTAGGAGATAAAGCATTCCAGACTTAGGCATGGAAAGTGAATACATTTGAGAAACAGCAGGAAAGCCATTGTAACTGGTTTACAAGTGAGCAAGCATGAACATATGGCTAAAGCATGGTGGCTTAAGAAAAGGGAGTTGAAAATGGCCCCCATGGGCTTTGGTTGCAGTGACTAGATAGTGGTCTCGTTTTCCAAGATGCAAGAAAACTGAGGTGTAGGGACTGCAAGGCAGATACAAAAATGTGCTCATGCAGGAGAAAGCAGTGCTTATATTGGGTGTGGTGAAGAGTGTAAGAAGAGACTCATTGTATATAGTTGAATAAATGTGACGAGTTCCAGGGGCTTTTTGGGAATGGCTTCAAAAGAGTGTAAGATGATGAAGCAGAGTTAGTGAGTATAAGTAATTTTTAGAGGAATTTTGCTTTTCTGAGAACTGGGCTGGAGTGGAATGTGAAGGGGAATTGAGTGAAGCAAGGAGGGCAGTATGGAGCAGAGCCAGGGTTGTTTGTATTTAGGATGTCCAGTGTCATGGCATGTCTGTGTGGCAGTGGTCCAGTAGAGGGGCCATAGAGAGGAAGGTTCTCATGGAGCATTTGACTTTCTTTTTGAGTTGATATGAACCCACGGAGTCTGGCTCTAGAGCCAGATACCTCAGCACACTACTACTCTCATAATAAAGGTGATCCAACCATAAATAGAATAAAATATACTTGAGACTGATGGGGAAATACTGTTATATACAGATGTAATTATGTTGAATAGTAATGATAGCATTGTGATTTTTAAAAAAAAATTTTTTTAAAGTCCTTTCCTAGGTTAGGGATATATAGATAAGTCTTTTTAAAATTTTTTATTGTTCTTTTTAGTTATATATGACAATAGAATCTATTTTGATATATTTATACAAACATGGAATATATCTTACTCTAATTAGGATCCCAGTCTTGTGGATATACACAATATTGAGATTCACTGTGGTGTATACACACACACACACACACACACACACACACACATACACACACATACATGTACACAGGAAATTATGTCAGATTCATTCCACTGTCTTCCCTATTCTCCCTTCCTTCCCTTCATTCCTCTTGGTCTAATCTATTGAACTTCTGTATAGATAAGTCTTTGATGAACTGTTATTTAGTTTATTTATTTATATGTGATGCTGAGAATTGAACCCAGTGCCTCACACATGCCAGGCAAGCACTGTACCACTGAACCACAACCCCCGCCCTGTAGATAAGTCTTGATTAGTAAAATGATCAATCTTGGATAGACTTTAAAATGTTCCAGTTCCTAGGGGCTGAGGATGTAAGTGTGGCTTAGTGATAAGGCCCTGGGTTTAAACCCCAATGTCTACTCCCCCCAAAAAATTACAGTTCCTCTCTTCTACCCTTCTCTCCCCAAGGTGGGAAAGGATACAAAGTGATTACTTATGAAGGTGGGAGAAGGGTGTATGCTGTGGTCTTCTCTACTTTTGTGCCTGTTTATTATTTTCAAAATAAAAAGGTAAAGATATATGAAACATACATGAAATAGAGGTTTGCTTAATTTTATTGTGTGATCAGTCAGCATCATGAACCCCTTCATTAATGCTGTGTCTCCCCCATACAGGTGGCCATCACTGGGCAGCTTGGTGTGAAGCCYCAGACAGGCAACAGCATCCCACTCACAGCCACAAACTTCCGAATTCAGGGTAAGGATGTACTGCGACTGCCGCCCTCTTCCATCACCACAGATGCCAAGGGCCAGACGGTTCTTCGAATCACACCGGACATGATGGCCACGTTGGCTAAGTCCCAAGTTACCACAGTAAAATTGACTCAGGACCTCTTCGGGACAGGAGGTGGTACTGCAGGCAAAGGCATCTCTGCCACCTTACATGTCACTTCCAATCCAGTCCATGCAACTGATAGCCCTGCCAAGGCCAGTTCAGCCAATGCTCCTTCATCTGCTCCAGCAGGCACCACTGTGGTCAAAGTGACTCCCGACCTCAAGCCAGCAGAGCCCTCCAGTTCAGCTTTTCGCTTGATGCCAGCCCTTGGTGTGAGTGTGGCAGATCAGAAGGGAAAAAATACAGTGGCCTCTTCAGAAGCGAAGCCAGCTGCCACAATTCGCATCGTGCAGGGCCTGGGAGTAATGCCTCCCAAAGCAGGCCAGACCATCACTGTTGCAGCCCATGCCAAGCAAGGGGCCTCAGTGGCCAGTGGGTCTGGAACTGTCCATTCTTCAGCAGTATCCTTGCCCAGTATGAATGCTGCTGTGTCCAAGACTGTGGCTGTAGCTTCTGGGGCTGCAAACACACCTATCAGCATCGGGACAGGAGCCCCCACTGTGCGGCAGGTCCCCGTCAGCACCACGGTTGTGTCCACGTCCCAGGCTGTGAGTAATGTCAGTGGTAAAGAGTATCCCTCTCTTCAGGAAGTCTCTTAAGGTTGTTAGCTCCCCATCCCTCAGGAGACTCGCTAGGACCAAAGAAATGTCTTTGTAGGTGTGGAAATTAGAAGTCCTGTCTGTATTCTTTTCTTTGATCCAAATGGATTTATGTATTTTTATGAACCACATTTTATAATGGTATAGTTCATGCATACGTTCTTACACAAAATTGTAAGAATGGTGCTAACAGTATAGAGTAAAATGTAAAATTTCTTTCATCCCTCTACCAGTTCTTCGTTTATAACTGCTAATTATTATTAGTAACACAGCATTTATCCTATGAGTCCTTTTCCTGTGCATTTTCATATATATATACACATAATTTAAGGAAAAAAAAATCTACAAGAGCCCTTACTCTCTCTCTTTTTTTTTTTAAAGAAGTCTTAGAGATTCTACACCAGAGAGAGAGATACTGGCTACATCCTTTCTGATGATGTAGCGATTCATAAAAGGGATTGTGTTAATATATATCCAAGCCAGAGGATGTGGCACACACCTGTAATCCCAGTGGCTCAGGAGCCTGAGGCAAGAGGATCACRAGTTCAGTCAGTCTCACCAACTTAGTGGGGTGTTTAGCAACTCAGTGAGACCCTTTCTCTAAGTAAAATATAAAAAGGGACTGGGGATGTGGCTCAGTGGTTGAGTGCCCCTGGATGCAATCCCCAGTACCAAAAAAAAGAATACAGTTTCCACTTTCCCAGTACCACTGTGAATGTTGTGGTGTGTGTGTTTGAATATGTATGTATTTCTGGGTTGTTTGTATTTAGGGTGGAGATTGTGAGGAGGAGGCACAGTGAGGCACAATTGGAGGCTTTGATACTCTACTTGTGCTGTCAGAAAGGCCACACAATTGTTCTCATCAGCAAGTCTCCAACCCTAACCAGAGCTGGCTGGTTCAAGTTAGAAGGCTGTTTAACTTTATGTTCCTGTCTTACTAGTGGAAAGGGCGTTCCTTTTCAGTTTTGTTTCCCTGATCATGAGTGAGGTTGAGCATACATTGTATAGAGATTGGCATGTGCTCTTTAGTGGAAAAGAAATTTTTGCTTGTTTTTGAGGGAAGGGAGGTATTTGACTTTTTTTATATTGTTCGAGGTGGCCCTTTTTATGTGTATAGAATATATTTCAGTCTGTCATCTTTCATCCTTACATTTGGTACCTCTCACTTTATARGTATTTACAATATTATTGATTAAATCTTATTAACACTTTACGTATTCTAGGTTTTGTGCCTATGCCTACCTTTCTCCAGGATTATAAAGATAACTAAGAATTTTATTTTTACAAAATTATGAGTTTAAAAAAGTATAAGTGATTGTCCATTTAAAACATAATTCTGTATCATGAAGTAGGGATCTCATTTCATATTTTCAAGTTATCCCCAAATCATCAACTAGTTTATCCCTTTCTCACCAACTTGAAATGATTTGTTTATTATGAACTAACTCCCTATATCAACCTCAACGTGTTTCTAGATGTGTGTTTTCTTTGATCTTGGAGTAAGGAACACCATTCTAGTGTATGGAGGATATAAAACATGTTTTTATTTTTCTAAGCAAGCTACATAGAAAAAGTTTAATAATTTGGGATAAAAGCCAGGGTGATGAAGGAAGACGGATATACATGTTCTTAAGCAACAACACCAAAAAAAAAAAAACTTACGTAATGTGGTTAAGGGAAAATAATTATATGTTTCCAAATCACAAAGGGTAAAGTTAAGGAAGTGAGGAAACCRTGTTTACCCAATCTACCTCTGCCCTCTTGAATCTTCCTCCTGACACCAAAAGGTCCTACCCAGTGGCATCTCCCTGTGTCACTCAGACATTCAGTCTAGGTAAATATAACTGGCTTATCCACCCTTAGCTACCGAAATAGTTAGAATTATATGCATGCCCATCTATGTCTTTGCTTAGCTTCTTATCAACTGTCCCCTCTTTTTTTTTTTTTTTTGGTGGTGGTTCTGGAGATTGAACCCAGGGCATTGTTCTACCACTGAACTACATCCCTGGTCCTTTTTGTGTTTTATTTTGAAATAAATTGCTAAGTTGCCCAGGCTGGCCTTAAACCTGGTATCTTCCTGCCTCAGTCTCTGGAGTTGCTGGGATTACAGGTGTGTACCACCACTCCTGACACAACCACCCCTCTTGATTTTTTTTTAAAAATTAGATTTAATTTACCTAAGATTTTACTACATAGAAATTGTATTACTGGGCTGGGGAGTATAGCTCAGTGGAATGTGCATGAGGCCTTGGGTTCCATCCCCAGCACTGCCCAAAACAAATTGTATTATTAAACATGCATTAGAAACCAGGCACTTTGGGAACCGGTGACCATTAATCCCTCCCAGAACCCTTAATATATTGGCCTTTACCCTTTTTTTTCATCTAGGTTCTTCTTGGGACTTAGCTGGTAAGTTTAGTGGACTTTTCACTTGGTTGAGTTTATTATTGGTATCCCCTAACTGACCTCTCTTATCTTGGAAAAACAGAAWGCACTTGGAGAATGTGACTTGTTCTTTATCCTGCATGCCTGGCTGTTTGTTCCCCCTCAGTGAGCCTGCATTCCAGTGAGGGGGTAGCTGTGTCCTTTCTCTGTTAACTCTTGGGCTTCTCGCTCCTTCCTCATGTGTGTTCCACCTCATAGTTCTAGGTCCCCAGCACTGTACCATATGTTGGGGGATACTGAGATGCTTAAGCCTCTCCTCCTAGGGGCTCAAAACCTAGGACTGTAGTGAATGAACACACACTTTACTATGTAGTTCAGGTACAGGTTTTATACCCATGAAAGAAGATTGTAAGATGATAATAGGCCAGGTGACACCTTACTACCAGTGTGAACCCTTTTATGTAGGGTTGCTTGGGCCCTGACCTCAGAATATTTGGACTGTGGTAAAAAATAGGGACTGAAAGTGCTCCTCACTTCTTTTTCCCTGTAATGATGCTTGGTGGTCTTCCTTTCTTCTATTCCTCAAAAGCCAATTTCTTTTTCTCTGCAGGGGAAGCTACCTACACGGATCACAGTTCCACTGTCTGTGATTAGCCAGCCAATGAAGGGCAAGAGTGTGGTCACAGCCCCTATCATCAAAGGCAACCTGGGAGCCAAGTGAGTCTGTTTGTAGTGAAGGAGCATCCTCAGGGGTGGAGGTGGGGATGGAATATAATGTCAGTCCTTGTCACAGAATGGGATGGCAGCTGGTATTTCTGTGTCCCCCACACCAATGCTCATCAATAATTGCCATGTTCATCAACAATATTTATTGAACATGTAGTACTGTTTTAGGTACTCTAATTAAAATGGACAAAAATCTGTACTGTTTTCAAACATAGATTGCAGGATGGGGTGAGGAGTAATTTTAAAAAAAAACCTAATGCATCAAGTGATAGAAGAGGAGTGTGAGGCACCTGCCTTTGACGTTTGAGCTCTGAACTTAGGACAGTTCGGAGGATGATGACTTCCTGTGGCCCTGACTTAATCAAGATAAAGGGCAGGATGAAATCAAGTCTACCACTATCAAACCAGCTTATGTGACATGGCTATTTGAGGCAGGGCTTCATTTTCTTTTTCTTTTTTTCTGGGAACCAGGGATTGAACCCAGGGGCATTTTACCACTGAGCCGCATCCCCAGCCCTTTTTATTTTGAGGTAGCATCTCACTAGGTTGCTTACAGCATCACTAAGTTGCTGAGTCTGGCATTGAACCTGCAGTTCTGCCTTACCCTCCCAAGCTGTTGGGATTACAGGCGTGTGCCACCATGCCCAGCTCGTTTTCTTGTTTTAAGAGTTGAGGTTTTGCTATGTTGCCCAGGCTGACTCTGAACGTCTGGATTCCAGTGGTCCTCCTGTCTCAGCCTCCCGAATARMTGGCACTGTGGTGCACAACACCACATCTGGCTCAGGAGGTGTTTTTGCCAGGAGCACACACCCTTCTGGGCTGTGTCTTCTGGTTAGGGTAATAGATATAGAGTCTAGGACCATTTTATCCAGAGTGCTAGGGCCTTCTGTGCTCACCCTTTTCTGCCATGGGAAGCATAGAAGCTGGAAGAAGGGTGGGGTCTTAGCAGCTTGTGTCCATGTGAATCTGGAATGCTGGAGTTTTGACTGAACACCAGACCTGCCTGTTTTCCTTCAGTGCACAACCTAAATCCAGGGCAGAGACAATATCCCATGATATAGTTATACCTTACTTCTGCTTTCCCTCCACAGCCTGAGTGGCTTGGGCCGMAATATCATCCTCACCACCATGCCAGCAGGTACTAAGCTCATTGCTGGCAATAAGCCTGTTAGTTTCCTCACTGCCCAACAGTTGCAGCAACTTCAGCAGCAAGGTCAGGCCACACAGGTAAGGTCCAAGGCAGACTCTTGGCCACATCAGACTTTTCTGTTTCCGTTACTGTTCTTAACTGATGCACCTACTTGTAGTCCACTGACCAGACCTTCTCTTTGCAAACAGGTGCGCATCCAGACTGTTCCCGCATCTCACCTCCAGCAGGGTACAGCTTCTGGTTCCTCCAAAGCAGTCTCCACTGTTGTTGTGACCACAGCTCCATCTCCTAAACAGGCACCTGAACAGCAGTGATTGTGACAGARGTGGCTTCCATAAAAGATCACTCCTGGTCTGCCTTGGCTCAAAGAAAGGGAGCACGGAGGTTTCGTTATTCCTCCAAGCTTGTCTGTTAAAGGCAGGCTAGTGGGGAGGATAGAAACGGCCTTGATTCTGCTGCCATACACCATACTGGAGCCCTAAGAATGTTTTACTCCAGGTTCCTGAGTCTGCTCTCTACCAATCTAGGAGAAGATTCTGTCAACAGTCGTGGAAGGTCATGATTCCATCATTCAAGCCAAAGTTCTCTCCTGAGAGTAGGACGCCCAGGGAAGGCTTACTATTTAGAGTGGGCAGGCAGTGTGTAAGCCTTGTTCTAAGGGTTGTATTTTTTAGTTTCTGGTTTTCTTTGTGACTTGTGGTCTAGATATGAGTTTTGTGTTCTGAAAATTTTGTGTAACTTATTTTTTTAAAGAGCCTATTGCACTCTTCATCAAATAGAAATGTGGGCTTTAGCTCCCCTCTAAAATGACCACTTGTTTTTTTGACCAGAATGAGAATCCTAGCCAGTTGGTGGCTGATTTGATAACTACATTGTAGTTGAGAGTCTATGAGATAAAAAAAAAACACATAGAAGTTAGGTAGTGTGGATTCCCCAAAATGGGATTGTTCTGGCATCACCTCTTTGTTGGGGTCTTGATTGTGGTCCATACCTTCGTCTGCCCAGTGGGCAGAGTACAGTGACAGAGACTTTGCAGCACCAACTTTGTTGCATTTCAGAGATTGTGCATTCTGTTTTGTTCTAGAGTTGGAGTCACAAACCCCAGGCTCTTGGGCCCAACCACCAGTTTTTGTAAATAAAGTTTTATTGGAACATAGCCCACACCCATTTGTTTATGTAGTATCTATGGCTGCTTTCAAGTTAKCAGGCAGAATCGAGTAGATATCATAGAGACTGTGTGGCCCTCAATCCTGAAGTGATATACTTTTATAACCCTTTAAGAAAAAGTATGTTGATCTCTGGCAGGAGAAACAGCAGGTAGAAAGTTGGCAGTGTGCAGGGTTGGGCACTACCAGCTTCAGAAGAGGTTAGTCTGGATTTCAATTTATTTATTCCTGGTTATTGCAGTCCTCAGCCACTTTCAGCTCTAAGTGGAACTCAGAATGGTATTTTAAAATGTCCCAAGTACTTAAGGAACTGGTCATTTATAACATATGCCTCACCTATCATGGGGCAGGGGTGGTAGGAATGCTTTTTTTGCAGTGATAGGGCTTCCCTATCTCACTTAGAAGTTATTCATATTATTAAAAAATTTATCTTGAACCTGTGGACTGTTAGTGGTGGTCTTGTATAGGATCTGGKTGGGGAAGTAGAGCTGGAGGACACAGAATGGAAGTGGCCTGGTTTAGATGGTAGCTATGTTGCAGGTGGGTATTAGGCAAGGTGCTGAGAAAGAGAAAAAGGTTAGAGTGACTTGTTGGTTACCCAGTGGTTTTATAATTTCCTATTGCAGTTCTGTAAAATAGATGTATCAGCCCCCTTTTAGCTGTGAGAAGATGAGTATGACTGAAGATTAAAAACAGAACCAAGGTGAAAACTCAGACTTCTGATCTTAAGATTCCTTCTCTGCTGCATTCTTAAGGGGAGGGTGGCTAGGATGTATCATGATGGGCGTTGGGGACAATCAGAGTTGGAAGGTGGGAACCCTAAATTCCAGAGGGCAGAGGAGACAGGTAAGATAGAACTCTTGATGGGTGTATGGAAGACTGGCACAGAAATAAGACTGGAAATGGTGAGAGGTAGAGACTAGAGGGAGGGAACAACAGGGTACTTTACTTGAGTGAAGTAGAGTTCATCTGTGTTTTATAATATAGAGATCATTCTAAGAGTTACTTTTCACATAGGAAGCCATGTGACATGTGGCACGAAAGAGAAAAAGATAGAAATTTGAGATATTCTGTCTGAGATATTTATTGCTGGTTAAAAACAAACCTCTTCTGAATTTACTTAACAAATGATGCCATAAAAGTAGCGCTGGCATTCAGCTGAAGCCCTATCCTACATGTTAATCTACTGAAGTTATCTAACTGCTTTGTGCTACAGATGTGTATGTTCTAGAGAGCAGGGATGTGAAACACAGGCCTATTTYAGGATGTCAGTGTGGCTTGACTCCCTGGGAGATCTAATATTGACACTATTCAGCCTGATGGTGGAATAGCATAGAGTGAGAGTTGTTTATGGTGAGAGCACCAGTATTTGTACCATATATGCTTCCTTCACATGTAGACTTCAGAACTCCAGGTGATGGGGCAGCTCTGATGGGGAACAGTTCTTGAAATCTGGCGACAGCCATTAAGCTGGTTGACAGAGGTTGGTAAAATTATTCAGACAACATATCCAAGAGAGAAGTTGATGAACAACATCATGATCCATTTGTACTTTAGTATCATATCTAAGAATGTTTATGCCAGGGTTGATCACTTCCATTAAGGTGTTCCAAACCATGATGTGGGGCTTGCATCAAAATAAATTTTAATATCTCCTATCCGATTTTCACACCTCAACTACTCACTCTAGAGAGTATTACATTTCTTAGTCTACCCCTTAAAACAACAACAACAAGACCCCAAATGTATATCTTTCTTGTGAAAATAAAACAGAAACTAAGTTCTTCCCACCTCTAGTCCCTATGAAAAATGCATATTTTACATTAATTGCTAATAATGAGTCCTTCAATACTTTGATTTTTGGATGGGGGTTACCAGAGGTGCTTTACCATTGAGCAATATCCCCAGTCCTTTTTTATATTTTATTCTGAGACAGGATCTTAACTAAGTTGCTTAGGGCCTCACTAAGTTGCTGGGGCTGGCCTCAAACTTGTAATCCTCCTGCCTCAGCCTCCTGAGCTGCTGGGATTACAGACTTGCACCGCTGTGCCTGGCACTGTTTGTTGAATGTTTGAGTTCCCATTCAGCTGGCAACACCAAGGTAGATGGAAAAAGGGGATCCAGCTCTCTATAATAACTAAATCAATGTTTTTAGTAGCTCATTTTTAATCCCTAAGTTTTGGCGTCAAGTTTGAAAGACAGCTGTGAGAACCAAATGAGAGAATGCATCTCATCCAGAAAATGCTGTACAAATAAAAGGTGTTAGGTGGTCTCTTAAGACCCTTCAGCTTTATGCTAGTTCACTTTTATCTGCCTGTTCAACTTCATATATTTAATTATCTATGTTCTTTCCTCCTTTTCATTGCCTTTGCACTTTCTGTACCTGGAGTAAGCTCTTTGTAGGACAGACTCCCTATAGAAACAACTCTCTTGCTTCCTCTATCTTGGTTCGTGTTTACCTCTCAAAGCCCCACCACACTGTGTAAATGCCTACACTGTCTCCCCCCTAACACTAGACTGTCAGCTCCTTGCTGAACAYATATTTCATTACTTGGGACAACCATTTCAGATCTGGTGCAAAGTAGACATCTGTTGAAAGAATTTTTTTTTTTTAAAGGAAAAAACATCTGAAACCAAGATTATATAATATCAAGATTTTATATTACTAATTCAGAATTCATGTCTTTTGCTTTCAGCTGTGTTGAAATTCAAGGCATTCCATAACCTGATGTTTTTCTCTGTACCTCACTGTACAGATTTCCTTTTGGCACCCTCTTTTGGGTGACTTTAGAAGTCAAAACAGCTGAGTTCCACAAGCCTGGCTGGGCTACTAATTAACTTCCTGTTTTAAAAAAAAAAAATATATATATATATATATATATCTTTGGCCTAATTTTGTCCCTTATCAATGGAGGCATTGCAGTGCTCTGTTAAGATTAGTTAGAAAATGTTTAACAAGTAATATTTAAAATATTTAAAATTTGCTTGTAAATTGCTTTACTTAAAAAAAAAAATACAAGTTAGAATTATAGCTTTAAAGTAAAAGCACTATCATTCACATGTGTCCTGATGTTTTTCCAATAAGAAAATAACCTGTTTTCTTGAAGGAAAAGCAGCATGACGTCTTGCACGACTCATATTATTTCATTCACAAGGTCATTTCCTGTTTTAGGTGTTCAGTCTTTGATTTCTCTATACAGATGCACAGGCTTATTACTTACAGGTATTACCTCATTTCTTTTTATGAAGGATATTACACTAACACAGACTAAGTTACCTTATGTTTAAGAATCCAAACAGCAAAATACACAAAACATCAGAGGCCTAATTTCCTGTACTAAAGCCTCCAGCCTTGTATTAAATGAGGAGGTACAAATGTATGGAGCCTTAGGAGCAGACCAAGGTAAGCCTCAAAATGAGGGAATAAGCTATATTCACTCCGGGGCTCAAAGGGATAGGAGGTCTCCGAAAGTCCATGGCCTAATCTCGTTCCTCATCTGAGCCACTCAAAAGTGCAGTCTGGTAAGTGTGATTGGACTTCAGTGTCTGAATCCCAATAATTTCTCCTCCATGTTTCTTTATCCGTGTCAGAAGGCTGTAATAGAAAAAACAATGAGGTCCAATTAGATTAGGCAGAAAAAGATCCTTCCTCATCTGAGGATTTAAAAATACCTATTGGTTCTTAAAGCATTTTCTTCACATCTCTATTAAATATTGTGATATGTGTTTGTATATCTGACACCTCAGACAATACTTAGTGTGACTGAAATGTCATAATTGAGCTCAGATTCAGCTGTTTCACTGACCAGGGAGTAGACTGATGGTAACCATGACTATAACTCCTTTCTGTTTGGTCTGTTATGGACTCTTCTGGGTGTAGTGTGTTTGCTTTGGGTCTAGGAAAATAAGCACCTAGGAAAAAAGGAGGGGCAGCTACAACAGCCATAGAACTGTAAAACCATATGCTGTAAGTCATCCTTGTACTGCAAGGCACCGACATTTACTGGTTGGATGACCTTGGTCAAGTTACTCAGTCTTGAAACTTTGATTTCCCCATCTGTAAAACATTAACAGTTCATCATAAAGCTATAGAGCAAAGTGGGGTAATACAGTGTTGAGAGTTATCTATGCCTGTGACACAGTGAGTACGTGGGAGTTAATAGCTATTATAGTCTGTACTGCTAAGAAGCACTCTAGAGAGCACTTTCTGCCTCGGCATATGTTTTGATAACATTTCTAGCAAGTAGGCAAAACAAGACCAGAAATAGAAGAGGAGTCCCAGATGAACCAGTAACAGCAGGGTCTACAGCCCAGTACTGATCCCTAGTTCAGAGTTTTCCCTATTGTACTACAGCCTTAATATCAGASCTGTATGTGAGACTTTGGTATGTCAGGGTACTATGACCTAGTCAGGTCATTTAACATCAAAAAGCCTTTATCATCCTCATTGGTAAAATGAGAGTTGTAATAACTATTCTGAAGTATCGAGTGCCTTACCTAGGATTTGGCATATAGTTGGCACCTATTAACACAAGTAGAAGTTAATCAGCACTGCCTAGGGATTAGTACTTGTCAAAAAAAGAACATACCAGTAAACAAGAGAATAGTTGATGGCCACAATGCAGAGGGCAACCAAGTAGTGCCAGCAGAAGCACATGGTGATGAACATAATGTTGGCCTCATCATTCTGGTCCCATGCAGGTGTTCCAAAAGGTGGGAACAGCACAAACCCAATCTGGTGGGTTAGATGAAGAAGAAATTGGTCTTTTGGTTAGTTGTCCTGAGAAGCCAGCCTTCCCCAGTGGCCACCAGGTTTGCTTAAGCTACCCACTATCTCAGGCCTTTTCATACAGGAATGTTAATTGTGGGAAAGTTAGGAAGTGGGACTTGTAGAAGGTACCAGTGCCTGCCTGTACTAGGGAAGTCTTGCCACAGGTTAATGCAGCAACAGGATAGTAACAGAAAAAGCACATAGGTCAGGGTATGGGCCTAGGGAGAAAGGGGCCATTTGAAAACATTCCTGTGGGGTGTATGCTGCGTTTTCAGACATTTTGCCTTCAGGATTTTCTTGGGCACACTTGAGGGGACTCCTCAATCTAGACCATATAAAGAATGTTGGTGTGAATAATCACCTGCCAGAACCAAGTTCCCTGAAGAATAACCAGACTGGTTCGGAAAAGTTCCAGCACAATATTGTCCCGAAAGATCACCTCCAGGGAGATACTGATACTGCCTCCAAACAAAGCATACAGCAGGAGTGAGTGGATATGCTGGTCCAGTGGAGATCGGTTATGAACATGGTAGTAGAAGAGAAAACCTGCCACGAACCAAATGACAGCCATCAGAGACTTGCTTGTTAATACTTAAGAGAATTCACCCTGGGCTTTTCCTGTTATTGGAATTTTCTCTTAGATCTGTCTCAAAGATAGCTKCTTCTTTTAGGAAGTGTTCCAGGACAACAAACAGGTGCAGATTAAGTTAATTTCGTAGGTATGGTAAGAGTGTCAAGAAAGATGTATTAAAACGATAACTCTCCAGAATCCATAGTAAGGTTCTATACAGAATGGATAAGTGATATATGGTGCTGCTTTATAACAAGCTGTGAGTACGTATACTTGAAATTCAGTTTTTCCCTTCTTCAACSTTCTGTTTCAACTCTGCTGAGGTAGAAGTGATTGGATTACAAAATGCTTTCTTCATACTTCAGTTAATGTGAGGTATATTGGGATTCTACCACTTTCCCCTGAGCAGTTGGGTGGGTGCTATGTTTGAGTGTCTCTCAAAGGTCAATATGTAAAGGCTTGGCCCTCAGGGTGCTGGTATAGGGAGTTGCTGTGGATCTTTTAAGAGGAGGGGCTTAGTTTGAGGTCTTTAGGTCATGGGGAAGGGTTGCTTTTCACGGGGAAACCCAATCTCTCCTTCTCTTTGTTCCTGGTTCAAAATGTGACCATTTTGCTCTTACATATGCTCTTGCTTTGATGTGCAATCTTCATGATTTGAGGTCAGACAGGGCCGCTCAGTCTTGAACTTGAAACTTCAAAACTGTGAGCCCAACTGACCTTCTTTAAGTAGCTTATGTCAGGTGTTTAATAATAGTGGTAGAAAGTTGACTAATGCAGTGTGTTTCTTGAGACTTGTAATGGAGGCCAACACAATAACACCCCAAGAGGTGGAGTAGGGTGCAGTGTCTCTTCCTTAACCAAAAGGATTTACCCCATATATAGTAGCAGTCAGTCAGTCCTGAAGCATTGTATCTATGTGAATATATGTGCATGTGTGCACCCGTGCATAGGAGTATGCACATGTATGAGTGCAGTATTGGTGGCAGTGGGAAGGCAGGGAGGCTCTGTGCAGTGTTAGCCAGAACCTTTGAGAACTGTCTTAAGGCCTTAAGCTTTCATGAGATGCTTTATAGATTATGCAGTCGGGATCATCCAGAGCATAGGACAAAGTCCTATTCAAGGTTTGGGAGTCCTGAGTTGAATTTGCAATATTTTTGGTCATTTATMTTTTGATCTCATAAATTTAACTTGTCTGACTCTCCTCCCTTTTCTCCATCCATTTTACTAAGTTACCTTCAGTGAATACTGCCATAGCCAAAACCAATCTGTCTACCCCCAAGGGGACATGGGAGGCAAGGTAGGTGAGCATGTCAATGATTCCTGAGACTGCAAAGAATAGGTACATGGTGCAGTGCTGCCAGTTCATTAGCTTCATCCAGTGGTTTTCATGGTAGAGGTGTAGGTGGGGCCCATCAGGAACAAACTGCTCTGCCAGGATCCCTGCCAGAAATGAGAGTGGTAAGTGAGTAGAGAGAGTAGCTCCAAGACAATTTAAATAATAAAAAATAGCTGAAARGCATTGTTTTAGTTAGCTTTGTCATTGCTGTGACTACAAGACCCAACCAGAACAACTGTAGAGGAGGAAGAATTTAGGAGTTCGTGATTTCAGAGGTCTCAATCCACAGACAGCAGGCTTCATTCCTGGGGGCTCAAGTTGAGCCAGGACATCATAGTGTGGCAGAGGGAAGCAGCTCAAATGGTGATCAGAAAGCAGAGAGGCCTTCACTTGCCAGATACAAATATATACTTCCAAGTCACCACCCCAATTCCCACCTCCTCCAGTCACACCCTACCACTTCAGTTACCACTCAGTTAATTTCATCAGAAGGATTCACTGATTGGGTTAATGCTGTCATTACCCAATCATTTCTTCTTTGAACTTTCTTGCATTGTCTCATGTATAAGCTTTGGGGGGACTTCTCATATCCAAACCATAACATTCCACCTCTGGCCTCTAAAAGCTCACATTCATCAGACAATGCAAATTATGTTTAGTCCATTCCCAAGAGTCCTTATAGTCTCAACAGTTCCAAGATTGCTCAAAGTTCAAGTTCAAAGTCTTCTCTGAGGCTCAAGGCAATCTGGCATTGTGAGCTTCTAAAGTTAGAAGCAATTTACAGGTATCCATTGTATAAAGATACTGAGTAAACATTTCCATTTACAAAAATAGGGGCATAGGAAAAAAGTAATGGGACCAAAGCAAGACTGAAATCCAGCTGGGCAAACAGCGCCTATAGTTATGTGTCCAGCATCTGGAGCACATGGCATAATGTCCTCTMCAAAGGTCTTCTGTAGCTACATCCCTATGGCCTTGTTGGTTGCAGCCCAAGTGGCCTTTGTGTTGGCTTGTCTCTGCTCAATTCCTGCAGCTTTTCTAGGTTGATGTCCCATGTTACTGGCATTTCTTAATCTTGGGGGTCTCCACTGCAGCTTTGGCTTCCTCCTCAAATCTCCACACCTTATCTTTTCAGGGCATGCCCACAGGGACTCTGACCCTGCTGCACTTTGCCTGGTTTCCAAGATCTTCCTTTGAAATCTTGGTGGAAGCCTCCATGACCCCCTAACTCCAGCATTCTGAATTCCTGCAGAACCAGCACCACATGGTTGACACCAAGACTGTCACCATCTTGAGCAGTAGCCAAGTCTGCAGGGACCTTTGCTGAAGCAGCATGTGAATGTCTGCGTTGCTGAGCATGTTGAAAAACAACTTCCTAGGCCCCCTTGTGCAAGAAGGGTGTCCTACTGGTCTCAAAGAGAATTTTTACTTTTATTTCCTTGAGTTTGAGGTGGGTGTGGGCTTGCCAGCTCCTGAGATAACCTCAAGCCATCTTTCTTATTGCCTCTGGATAGTCTTCAGCATTTCTTTAGTGTCAGTAAAGTCTTATAACAATTGCAACTTCCTTAGCCCTAGTTTTACTCCTGCCTTTCAAGTTCTTTAAACATTTCTACTCCCGAATATCACAATAAAATCTGCCAGTAACACCCGTGAGACTTCCTGAATGCTGTGTTGCCTAGACAGCTAGATTAAGATCTCCATCACTTTTAAAATCAGCCTCAAAGAAAGTCTCAGGACATAGACAATAAGCAGACAACTTCTCAGCCAGAACAGTACAGGGATGGCCTCTAGTCCAATTACCGATAGTGTCCTCCTTTTCTTCTTAACCCTCTTGAGCCCTGTCTTCACTGTCCACCCTCCTATTGGCATTCTGGTCTTCTGAGCTCCCACCAGAATTGGCCATTAATCTTTGTTTACAACAGTTTAAAACATTTCCATCTTGCACTGCTAAACATCTCAAAAATCCCACCCACAAATTCCAAAAAGCTTCTGAACCACATGATTAGGTTAGGCACAGCAAGAACCCCACTCCTGTTATCAATTTCTGTGTTATCTTTTTCACTGCTGTGATTGAAAGACCTGACATGAACAACTGTAGAGGAAGAAAAGTTTATTTAGGGGCTCACTGTTTMAGAGGTCTCAATCTTTACAGACAGTAGGCTCTATTCCTTGGGGGATGAGGTGAGGCTGGACATCATGGTTGGAAGAGTGTGGCAGAGGGAACCAGTTCCCATGATAATCAGAAAGCAGAGAAGCAGACTTCACTCTCCAGATATAAAATATATACTCTAAGCCATGCCCCCAATGCCCACCTCCTCCAGTCACCAGATAATCCCATCAGGGAATTAATTCACTGATTGGGTTAAGGCTCTCACAACCCAATCATTTCTTCTCTGAACTTTCTTGCATCTCACACAGGAGCCTTTGGGGGACACCTCACATCCAAACCATAACAGGCATGAACCAAGTCTAGATGTGGGTGAGGGTTGCCTATGCTTTGCTGCCTTGAATGTAGCTCCTTCAGCATAAAATAAGATTGGCCAAGTAATCTTTTTGGTAACTGGCCTTTGTTTCTCCTTTTTGGGAGTTGTGGGTCTAGAAGGATAAGCAATAGAATGCATCCATACACAGGCCTCCAGTGTATTTGTTCCAAGCTAAGGTGAACACAAGGCCAGACCACTTAAGTGAGAATGTAGCTGATCACTAATCTTTGGGCTCCTCTGCCAAGTCAGCAGTGAAAGATATCCCCAAAGACAGACTGTGATGAAGATTCTTGTACAAACCTAAGGGAGGGCAGCAGCTCCCATATAAGCACCAAGCAAGCTCTGTAACCTGCAGGCTCCTCCAGCCCTGGAGGAGTATACTGACAGGGTGAAGGTGCTACAGTTTTTTGTTTGTTTTTTGCCATACTGTATCCAAGAAGTAAGCAGGGCCAGAAGTTTTTGCTGCTGTAACCCAGCACAGCTCTCAGTACCTGTCTGTCCCATGTACTTTTACCACCTCTTAGAAGATTTGTCTTATACTCAAAATGTTCTTGTGGAAGCCTGGGAGTCCTCCATCATAACATTTCTGGATGCTGTTCCCCAAAACTTTGTTTCTCAAAACAGTCCCTTTCTGAACTAATTTATAACTGTTCAGGAAGTTGGTGAAAATGACCTGTGTGAAGTAGCAGTGACAGCAGAATAGAAGCCTTGTGAGTGGAATATGGTTCCTTATTGTGTTTCTAACATTCATACATGGTTAGAACTCAAGAGATAGCTGTTGAACACGTGTCACTTTCACCCAGCTGAGATGCCAAATACAATTTTTCTAGCTTTATTTAGGCAAAATTGAGGCTATCTCTTCTATGTAAATCATTACGGTCCCAGTCATTTCTCAACTCCAGAAAGATCTCTGATGTCTGAACTGAGAACAGGAAATCTCAGCTAGGTAAGCAAACAAAGCTGGGTGAGCTTTGCTTACTCCAAGGGAAGTTATTGTCTTTGCTTCATTCCCTCCTGGAAAACTAGGCCAAGGATGGCAAGTGGCCAAGCACAATTGCAGAATAAGAGCCTTAATTAACTTAATGCAGTGCAGGGCTGATTCTGAGGAGGAACCCTTACTATGGTCAGTGCTCATTCCTTGTTGGCTTTTTTCAGTCTGGTCCCACTGTTTACCTTACTAGCCCCCCTGTGCAAAGTTCCCCCCCTCTATAGTTGCTTGCGGTTTGAGGAGGGAAGGCATGTCTACCCTGAGATTCTAGAGGGAAAGACAAATGAGGAAAAATGATTTTTCCTAAACTAACTGTAAACTCCATTTAGTACTTTTTAGTTCATGTACATAAGTTTACTCTGCTTTAATGTAGTTCTTGGCTATTTTTTTATATCTTTTTCATACAGTATGTGTTTTGCTTCAACAACCTCCTAAACCAGTGTCCTTTTAGGACAAAGAGTATAGTTTATTTGGTAGTTTTTCATAGTCAATATACAATGTTAAGACTCTGTTAACAGTATACCCAGTAGGTATTATGATAAAACAACCTAGTGGCTATTTGAAAATCCTTGTTGTATTGTCTCTGCCAGTGAAACATCTATTTCACAGAGCCCAGAAAATAGATTAAAGGTTCTGGTATGATGTGAAGATTCCCCAGACCAAATGACCCTGCTCTTACCAATGACTGAAAACAGAATCTTGACTGCAGCCTCGATGACCTCTAGACGCTGGTAATAATGGTTGAGCCTGCTGTTCTTCCCCTTCTGGTGAAAGTACTTCAGTGGGTACTTCACTGACCACCACAGTCCAACTATCAAGAAGAAGCTCCCSGGGAGAGCATGGCCCTTGAAGTTTGCCATCAGTGTTCTAGGACACCTAAAAGATTAGGAACAGCTGTTAGTGATCATTCAAGAAGACATATTAATATATATTTTGGTAAGAAATAAATTACATGCCTAAGGAGTCCAAATCATGAGCCACATCAAGAAGGGTCAGCTGTTTCTTATCAAATAAGCTTTTATGTTCTGTCACTGAAGTCTTGTTCAGAAGGTGAGTTATGTGATGAAGAGATCATTACCAACCCTAAGGTTGTAAAAACTGCAGTGGGGGATGGGTAAATATTCATTGGTCTCAGGGTAAAGAAATCTTTCTAAGTATAAACAAAGGAGGGAAGTATAAAAGAAAAATTCAGTTGTATAAGCATTTTATGTATCAAAAAGACAGTTTTAAAAAAGTTTGTAGCAGCTATATGGTATTTGTAGCAGGTATAAGGTATATATGTTTTGTAACAGCTCTATGGCTATTGTACTAGAGAGCTTTTACAAATTAATAAAAAAGATGAATGAACAAAAGACATGAATAGATGATTCATAAATTGATGACAAATCTCAATTAGATATGTATATGGCATCACAATGCCATTTTTCATCTAATTTGAAAATAATTTGGAAAACAAGATTTTGGACATATGAAGAATATGGTCAATATGATTCAAATTTATATACACCAAAGTAATTATATAAACATCACCTCATTCTAAAAAAGACTTCAGGCATGATTTGCTTTTATCTCTTTTACAGTAGCATGAGACTATAGGATAGAAATTAGGAGTGTTAGCTAGAATTTATTAAGAAGAAAAATGTTTATTTTTCCCTGGGGCATAAAAAATATGTAACTTAAGAGGAAAATAACAGTTTGGGTGACTACTATAGTTTGAAAGTGTGCCCTCCAAAATTCAGGTGTTTGCCAGCATGTGTAATATTAAGAGTTGGGGCCTTTAAGAGGTGATTAGGCAATGATGGTTCCTCCATCATGAATGGGATTAGGTACGCTTGTAAAGGATTTTGATGAATGGGGTTGGTCCCTTTTTTTGCCATTCTGCCATGTGAGAATGCAGCCCTCACCAGACACTATATACTGAGGCCTTGATCTTTAGACTTCTTAGCTTCCAGAACTATAAGAAAAAAAGTTCTGCAATACCYAGTTTGTGGTATTATGTTATAGGAGTAGAAGATAGACCAAGACTGACAGAAAAAAAAGATTCCCTAGGAACATAAAGTGCCCRTCATCTACACAGCTTTTATACTTTGCATCTGGAATATCCTACAAAGTCCCATGAGCAGAAGGCTTGGTCCCCAACTTGGCACCATTGGGAAGTGGTGGAACCTTCAGGAGGTGGGGCTTAGTGGGACAAAGTTAGGTCGTTCTGGGAGTGCACTGTAGGGGAATATTGGGATCCCAGCCTCTTCCTCCTCTTTGCTGTCATGCTGTGAGCAGCTTCACTATACTATGTGTTCTCTGCAGTGATATACTGTTTTGCTATAGGTTCAAAAGCAACAAACTAACCAACCATGAGCTAGAACCTCCAAATCTGGGARCCAAAATAAATCTTTTCTCCCTTAAGTTGATTATTTTAGATGTCTTTGTCTCAGCACCAGAAAGCTGACTAACACAATAACCATTCTAGCCCTAGCTGTTGGCCCGTCCTTTATCACCTACTAGATTTTCAGGACCTTTTCACATCTTCCACATTGACAATTAAGGGATCTCCCCTGTCCTGACATTAAGCTCTTTCACAATTAAAAAAAATGCATATAGTTTTAAAAATATCAAGCATTATGAGAAACTTAGATGACGAGTAGCAGTTTCATGCTCCATCCCTAGTGAAGCCACTTTCATCTTTTTCAGCAGTTTCTTCTGGTTTTACATCCATAGATATAGCTACTGTGTGCATGTTGCAATCTAGTAATTTATCACTGCTAGGTATTATCTACCAATTTCCTAGTGCTCTCCTACAACTTCCTCCCTCTTTTTTTATCCTTTTATTTTCATACTGGTTACAACATACATGTTATTTCAATCATTAGTATCATTAATATGGCTCTGTAAATCCAAAGTCCTTATCAGGGCCAGGAAGGCCCTGGGTTAACTTTTTGATCATACCCAGCTATCTTCTGCCACCCTTCATCCCTCTGTTCTTTCAAACAGTTGAATATAGTCCATTCCTGTGTTAGGTCCTTGAACTATCTGTTCTTTCTAAAATGGTATTCTACCAGTGGTTCTCCTTCATTTTACATGGGTCTTAGTTCAAGTGTCATTTTATTCCCTGGCTATTCTGTGGAAAATAGCAGGTATGTCCCACTTTTCAATCCATATATACTTGCAGATTTTCCTTAACCTATGAATCACTTATATTACAGACAGGTTCCTTTTCAAGCATCTGTGTCCATTTACTAAAATGTAAGTCACTTAGAAGGAGTTTGATCTATTTTGTTATTGCTGTCAGACCAGTGCCTACAACATGGCCAGGCAACAGGGAGCACTCAGTAAGTGATCATGAAATGAATGGCTGCTTAACCAATTAGCATATCAAGTGTTGTTTTCTTCACCTTTTATTTTCCAGAGTTAATAGTTGCCTTGTTTTTTATTTGTTTAGTTTCCCTTATCCTTTTCACTTTGTTTATCCATAGAACTAACAGATTTATCAAATGTCTGCCAAATAAAGTTTTAGACATTATCAGCTCTCTTTTATTCCTAGAGACAAAGTTCTCCAGAACTGAGCTGATTACTATTCTAGAGCATCCAGCACCATCTTGCACATTGTTCCTGTTTTGGCTCTCTTGTTTCTTGGATGTCATTTACTTTCCTTTTTTGATTTACCTCCATTAATATTTATCTAGTATTCTTCAAAAATGTACAAGATAAAAGGGAGATTTTTTTTTTTGAGAATTTGCATGGTTTGGTTAACAATCTCTATATTTTCTTTTTAGCCTGTTCATATTTAATTATTGAGGTGGTTATATCACATCTGTCATTTTATTTTCTRTGTCTCTCAATGCTGTTTTCCTGATGTTAGAATGTCTGGAATTTAATTTCTTATTCCTCTGTTCCTCATTTCTTGCTGTCTTTTGAGAGTTAACATATAAACAATTTAATAATAACATGCCATTAAATTCCTCTTTTTGGAGGGATATTTAATTTTTTTCTAGTGCTTGTTCCAGGGATTATAGTAAAAATCTTTATTATATTCTACTCTATATAATACTAAATTTTGATAAAAAATTGCAACTTTGTTCCAACATGGCTTCATTTTCTACCCTCCCTTCATGCCTATATATATTCTTACACACACATACATACATATATGTAATGAACTAATTATACCATAAATATAAACACACACACACACACACAAAGAAACAAACCATTAATGTGAACGGACTAAACTGTTCCAATGAAAAGGGAGTTTCTTACACACACATACAGTCCAACAGTGTTGCAATTATTACTGTGAAATAATTTTGTATTTTTCAAAGAATGAATATACAAATGCTCCTAGACTTACAATTGAATTACGTACCAAAAACCCTCACAAATGAAAAATTGTAAGTTCAAAATGCACTTAATACATCTAAGCTACTAATCAATCTGTGATGTAGCCTCCTTTAAACACATTCAGAACAATTACATTAGTCTACAGTTGGCAAAGTCACCTAACACAGCCTATTTTCTAAGAAAATGTTGCATATCTCTTGAAATTTACTGAACACAGCACATTCAGAGTATGGATATTGGTTGGTGACCCCAGGATTTTGTGGCTGGCTGGTTGTGGCTTGCTGCTGCAGCATCACCACATAACACTATCGAGGAAAAGCATCAAAATTCAGAATTTGAAATGTGGTTTCTACTGAGTGCATATAACTTTCACAACATTATAAATTTGAAAAATCCTAAACTGAGCCTTTGTTATGTCAGAGGATGTCTGTGTATTCTTTCATATTTAATCACATATTTGCCATTTCCAGTGCTCTTCATCCCTTCCTAGCCATTTGAATAAGTCTATAATTTTATCATTTTTCAACACAAAGGCTATCCATTAGTATATTTTATAATCGTGCCTTTGCACCMCCTGCATATAGCAAAATATGTAAGTCCCTTATATAAAATGGCATAGTAACCTATACACATCCTCCTGAATAGTTTAAATCATCTCTAGAATGCCCGCAATACCTAACATAATGTAAATGTTGAATAAATAGTTGTTATTACTGTATTGGGAGTACTGACAAGAAAAAAAATCTACATGTTCAGTACAAACACAAGTTTTTCCAAAGGTTGTTAGCCCATAATTCAATGAATTCACTAATACAGAACCCATAGATAAAGAGAGCTAACTATCTTGGAGAATGTTCCTTGTGTACTTGAGAAGAATGTGTGTTCTACTGTTAATGGAATTTCTGTGTTAGGTCCATTTGGTCTAAAGTGTAGTTCAAGTCCAGTGCTTCTTTATTGTTTATCTGTATGAATAATTCATCCATTATTGAATGTGGGGTATTGAAGTCCCCTGTTATTATATTACTGTCTTTTTTCACTATTATATCTATTATTATTTGCTTTATATTTTTAGGTGCTCCAATATTGTATGCATACTTATTTATAATTAATATATTATCTTGATGAATTAACCCATTTATCATCATATGATGTCTTTCTTTGTCACTTTTTATATTTTTTTGTTTGTTTTTTACTTAATGTCTATTTTGTCTGATGTAACTATAGCTACCCTGCTTTCTTTTGGTTTCTGTTTGTATAGAATATCTTCATTTTCATTTTATGTATGTCCTTAAAGCTGAAGAGAGTATCTTGTTTTTTTATTTTTTTAAAAAACTAATTCAGCTTTGTGTTTTTTGATTGAAGAATTTAATCCATTTACATTTAATCCATTTACATTTAAGGTAATTAGTGAAAGGTATGGACTTCCTATTGCTATTTTGCTCATTGTTTTCTGGCTGTTTTAATGATTATTTGTTCCTTTATTCATCCCTTTGTGGCCTGATGGCTTTCTATAATGGTGTTCTTTGATTATATGCTTATC